TATATATATACATATATATATATATGTATATATACATATATATATATATATGTATATATATATATATGTATATATATATATATATATATATATATATATCTCATAAAGAGTTAAAAGGCAAAACCTTCAATTTTTGTTTGTTCAATTATTATTATTATTATTATTATTATTATTATTATTGTTTGTGTTTTTATTAGTATTAGCAGCATTATCGGTGTGATTATCCAGCGAGTGAGCCGATCGGATGGGACCTGTGCACGTCGTACGTCAAGATTCGTGCATGTTTGATCTTGTGCTTCTAGATATGGATTGCAACTGTAGCATTGGACGGTGGGATTTATTTCCCGAAATAAAATTGATTTTATTTTTTAAAAGGATTATTCCTTTTATAATCATTTGTTTTTCACTTCAAATAAATAATTACGACCCGCTTTTCGGGTCAGCGATGAGTCCAAAGCGGTAGCGCAGGGAGAGACCAGACCGCAGCGAAAGCGTGAGCGCGAGGGACAGCGAGGCGAAGCCGATGGCGAGGAGAGCGGACGAGGAGTACGACTACCTGTTCAAGGTCGTGCTGATCGGCGACTCGGGCGTGGGCAAATCCAACATCCTCTCCCGCTTCACCCGCAATGAGTTCTGCCTCGAGTCCAAGTCCACCATCGGTGTCGAATTCGCCACCAGAACCCTCCAGGTATCAGATCTCGCGATCCGACTTCTCCTGCTCGATTCCCCACTTATCGTTGTGAATAAGGAACGCGATCTCTTGCCGGATCGGGTTTCCAGCTTTGGAAGCGGCGGATCCATGCCGGTCTTTTCCTGGATCTCGTGCATCTTTGAGTTTGGATCATTTGTTTCCCCCAAAAAAAATGATTTTTTTTGTTTGTGTTTTAGCATTTGTTCATGATCTGAAGTTCTGAGCACGATACGTGTTCGTGGATCTGGATATGTTCATATTGGTAGCTATTATCTCCCCCCTCTTCCTCTGGTTTGTTCTTTCACTTGTTCTGGTTGTCCTTTTCTATTTTTCCTTGAAGAAATTATGAATGTTAATGAGAATTAAGGATTTGTTTATTCAAATGATTGCTTTATGTCAGTGTATCTTATGATTTCTTTTGTCTAAATTCTACTTTTATACATGGTGGGTTGCCTGTTAGTGTGATTGCTTGTACTGCGATCTATGGCAAAGTGTTCGATCAATTTACAGTATGTTAGTACTGTGATGTTTGGCTACCCAATTATGGCTTCGGCATGGGAGCAATCTTTGATTTCACAGATCGAACCAAGAAAATTTTTTAGGGTAGAATGATTTGAATTTTTTTGGTGTCACTAAAGAGTAGTGAAGACTCTTCCAGTGGTAGACTTTGTAATTTACGGTATGTTATTGTTTTGACGTTTGGACACCCAATTATGGCTTCAGCAAGGGATGTAGTAATCTTTTAATTCATAGATGGAACCAAAAGTCATTTTCTGAGGACCCAGGAGCTGTCACCCACCACATGGGTAGAAGGGTTTGAATTTTTGGTGTCACTAGTGAAGACTGGCCTCGTAGTAGACTTTGTAATTTGCAGTATCTTATTGCTTTGATGTTTGTCTACCCAGTTATGGGTGCAGAAAGGGATATAGCAATCTTTTGATTCATAGATCGAACCAAGAAGTCATTTTTTGAGGTCCCAGGAGTATGTCATTGATAAAGTAATCTTTAGTATGTCATTGTCATACGTGGGCAAAAGGATTTGTATTTTTTGGTGTCACTGAAAGGTAGTGAAGACTGGCCCAGTAGTGTACTTTGTAATTTGCAGTATGTCATTGCTTTGATGTTTGGCTACCGAAATTATGGTTTTAGCAAGAGATGTAGCAATCTTTTAATCCATAGATTGAACCAAGAAGTCATTTTTTCAGTCTCTTTAGTTCACCATTCATGTGATGAATTTTAAGTTGATCTGTTTGTAACCCGAGGAAGTTTGTCCAGGATACCCTAGTTGGTTCTTGATGATTTAGAGGCTGTTTAATGGCATGAAGATATAGTCTTTTTGGCAGGATTGACACGAGAATACCTTGTGATATTTTCTCAGATTTCATCATATCTGACAATGTATAAGATATGATGTAAGATATAATCTTATTTCAGAAGGTTCTTCCTCCCTTATGAACAATTTTGAAACAAAAAAGAGATAACTGTTAGTTTATATTATGCCCAGTGTGTTTTTGTTATATTTATGTTGTTCACAGCTCAAAAAGAAATTTAAGCAATTACTACAAGTTCTCAATTCTGCAGTTTTGTCTAGCTTGAAGGGATTGAGGTTGAGTTCAAGTTGAGGCCTGTGTCTTAGTTGAGTCATTTTGAGATTTGTTTGCCTAAGTTATTTATGAATCTGGAATTGGATATGTTTGGGTATGTTCAGAGCAATTTTTGTTGTATAGACTCAGAGATTTTAGTAAATGTTACTATTCTTTGAGTTCAAATTATTAACGGGACAATGATCTCATTATACAGAGCAACCAGATTACTATCTATGAACTTCTGTTTTGCTCTTGGCAGCATGGTTGTCAGGATAAAACTGCCTCCATAGAGAATCTCTTGAGAAAAATAGGTATTCTATGATTAAACTAGAAATTATAACCTTGAACTGCTAGTGGTGATCTACATTGTGAATGCCATGATATACATAGATAACAACAATGTACTTGTTATAAAATTTTAATTCAGAATTCATTGATGAAACAATTGTCCTTTGGAGGGCAAAGCTCCCCTGATTACACATAAAAATCTACTTTACATCTTGTCCTGCCCATATCTTCATGTAATCTTTCTTTGTTGCTTGTGAGATTTGAAGCATATATGTAATGTATCCTCGGGCTTCCTTAATGAATATTGTTTTTCACTTGGCATGTCTTGTTTATATATCTAGGATCAGTGCATTAGAAGCTGCAGTGGTCAGTCAAATCAATTGGCTACTCCAACTGTGACATTGATTCTTGGTATTGAGACATGAAATTTACACATTCGGTATTGCTAATTTTAGGTTTATGAATTATTGATCATGTTGTTGTGTAACATCCTAATTTCTTGACAATTGGATCGGGAATGACCTTTTGAATGTTTTGTCCTAGAAGCTATCTGATGTACTTAGCATCAACAATCTTCAGGCATCCTTTACCAAGAGTAGTTTTGTTGATTTGCATTAATTATTTTCCTCACTTTCACGTTTTACCTCTCCTACTATTTCTAGGTAGAAGGTCGGATAATAAAAGCCCAAATATGGGACACAGCAGGCCAGGAGCGATATCGGGCAATAACCAGTGCTTACTACCGTGGAGCCCTTGGTGCTGTCCTAGTCTATGACGTGACCAAGCCAACATCATTCGAGAACATCAGTCGGTGGCTCAAGGAGCTTCGCGACCATGCTGACTCCAATATTTCAATCATGCTCATTGGTAATAAGACTGACCTTAAGCACCTTCGTGCGGTGGCCTCAGAAGATGCACAAAGCTATGCTGAGAAGGAAGGGCTTTCTTTTATCGAGACATCGGCACTGGAGGCTACCAATGTTGAGGAGGCCTTTCAGATGATTCTTGGGGAGATTTATCGAGTCATCAGTAAAAAGAACATCTCTTCTGATGAGTCTGGACTCGCAGCAGGTGTCAAAGAAGGGAAGACCATTGTGGTTTCTGCATCAGATTCTGGCACAAAGAAACAATGCTGCTCAACATAATGGTGTCAAGTTCCTGTTTTCCTTATGCTTGCACCAGATATATTATATATCTGTAGTATTGAGCTTCTGGATTATGATTTCTTGTTTTCCATCAGGATGAGGTTATTGCTTGGAGCACTTCTTTTTCATATGTTGGTTTCCATGCTACATTATATATTTTTTAAATATTAATTCCTCAGAATTTGTCTCTGGATTGAGGTTTAGTGTGTATGTGCAATCTCATTGGAACAGTGACATCTTGTTATCTAAAATATGATTAGTTACTTCCAGTATTAACAAGAAATAAAATATGCATCATAAAACCACATTGAAATGCACAATGCTGTTAGTAAATATCATTAAACATGCAGTAGCAATATTGGGAGTATCATATGCCTTACTTCCCAAGTATTTAATATATGTTCTGTTGGATCCACCATATTTTTTGTGCAAATATAACCCCTGATATTTGGCATATTTATCATGTTATTACTATATGTTCCAAATCTTACTTCTTGTTATCTTGTTTGAAAACGTATTATGAAGATCAATTCTGATCACAATTGATATTATTTTGATCTATCATCATCATCATCATCATCATTAATAATAATAATAATAATAATGTGTTAAATTTTTTATAAGTAAACCTTCTGAATAGTTATCACCAGAAGAAAAATATGTAGAGCAACCCTTTCTTGATGCATTCATTGGCATATAGTCTTGACAAGATGACAATAATCCATAGGAGAATTCACAGCTCAGGGGAGGGCAACCTTTCTTCCTCTGATTATACCCTTACATCCTTGAAGCTAATCATTGTGGTGTTCAGGAATTTTGCCAAAAAGAATATACATTTGGCATTAATGTTGGATAGCTCATTGAACTAATGATCAAGATGAGCTTTTGGGCAATTCAGGACATCCATGTGTGGTATTTGATCTGAAAAAAATTCTTACAAGAGCAACTTTCTTTGACATCAGACTCATTTTGACAATGTATACATGGATCAAAATTATCTTCCAAATTTTTTTGGAGATCTCTTTCCATTAGTTATCCTTCTTATAGATTCTTCTTGGTTTTGACTTTATCGACGCGCGCTTTGCGTACCGCCTCTTGGATCTGCCTCTCATGTTCTTTGAGCATGTCTTCTATATTTCCTCCCGGAGGCATCAATGGTCCGGAGTAGTGGATTCTTTTGTTCCTCGTGCCATAATCCTGAAATTTGTACAAGTGTGCAAACAATTAGTAATGTTCCTCAACTTTACAGCAAAATAATCTTTGATCTCATCTTTGAAGCTTCAAGCCCTGAAATGCTCATGGATGAAGCAAAAGTGAAACTCACATAATTGTCTCCTAAAAAATATCTGAAGATCAACAATACTACATATGAAACAATAATGTTTCAGATCAGGTCTTTTATGATTGTTGTCACTGCAATAAACTTGGATTAACAAAATTTATCCTACAAATTCTATTGCTCCTAATAACTACTATTGCTGGACTTAAAAACAGGATGCTATGATCTTAAGAACATACCACAGTGGAATCCTTGGTCACTATTCTGCCATCCTTCTTATGGACAGAGGCAGGTCCATCAAGTGTATGCTTGTCAGAGGGCTCAGTAACATCATGCCTATTGTATCTGGAGTTTGCAGTGCTTCTTGGTGCTACTGAACCTGAGAAGTTGGCAGCTCCTGACTGATGCATGTAAGATCTGTGTGTCTGCAACTGAGGGCCATTGGACACCCTCACAGAACTGTACGAACGTCCGGGAATGGAGAGCTCTTCCTGATTCACATTCCTAGTGCCTGAGTGGTAGAAACCAGTATGCGTTGTTCCTACAGGGGTGTCGATAAGAAATCCTGGCCCAATTTCATCTTGTGCATTGTTGTACTTCTCGCTGATGCTTTTGGGATTTGTCTGTGCCTGTCGTTGACAAAAGAGTAGAGACAAACTAAAGCAATGGAATCAATGGAGGAGTTAACTCACAGAATAATCACATTCTTTCCATGCTCTAGACTTTATTGTGTGACTGCATGTGGCACATGAACTCCCTTATGTTATGTTGTGCCACACTGTAAGCTTTGGAGAGCAAACAGGGCATGTGTTCTTCAAACTTGTAATTGAAACTTTAGTTGTCTAGTATAGAAACAGTAGCCAAATTCATTTAAGTTCGACTGCGTCCGAATTTTTTCTATATACTTCATATTTTCTTCTCATTTGCATGGTTCTTTGGCCCAAATCCAGCTACCATAACTCAACTTTATTCTCAGAAGAGATGAATGATTGTTATGTAGACACATTTTTCTCCAGCAATTGGATGGACACAACTCTGAAGATGTTGCTAAGCAAGGGGATTAAAAGGGCAGCTGCAACCTAGTGCACAAGTTACAGATGAACATGAAAAGGTGATGCTCCCACATCACCTGCTAATAAACCTACTGGCTCATGAGAGCAAAGAACTATTTGTCATATAAATGGCATAATCGGTTACTAAATGATGCATATTTTATGAACAATTTTTTAGGTTTGCATTATTAATGTCACACATGCAGATGCACCCTTGCTTTTCAGCAGACTAAACAAGCTGCTGCAGACAAATTTAATTCTCCATCTATCGACATCGATAACAGAAATCTAAAATCACATTTGCAAAGCAAAAAATGCATGAAGTCTACCTGCTGCTCCACATTTGCATCAAGCATAGCTTTGGTTTCTCTTGTACCTGGTCTAGCAGAACCTGATCGGTCCTTGGTAGCTTCTGCTCTTTTCCTGTAGAAGGTCATAATGCAGAAAGTGAATAATGAAATAGACCAAAAATCTTCCACATATAGTTTCAAATGTGGAGATTAAGGGGTGTTATCTAAAGCATGCTATGTCAGAATTGTAACTAAAATACCTCCTAATTTCCTGGCCCTGGATTTTAGCATCATACTCCTTGCTTGGTGGATATTTAGGCAAATTTGACGGTTTGCAGGCAAATGGCTTAGTTTTGAAGAACTGAAAGTTAAAAGTAGATGTTAGCGATCATCTCATCATCATAAAAATTCTCGTAAAAAATGAAACTTCAAAATGTAACTGGTAATCCTGACAAATTCTGTACAAGGACTCGATGACTTCTAAAAGAAAGATGCTGTAGCTTAAGAAAATAGTGGTATACCATACACCATGTGGTAAAATGGAATCCCATACTATTCGTAGAGATACCAGGCTACCAGCCAAATCATATTCTGAATGAATCCATTTGTGATACATAATGAGAAACTCGAAAAATCAACAGCAGAATATGGTTTGAATTGAAATTAGTAGAAAAATAATTAACCTTTATCACCAGACATATTTCCTTAAAAAATCTGTCAAAGATACTTGTAAGAACGTTTAGCAGGAAAAAAAAAATCTTCACAATAATAGAAGCAGCCTGAGTTTGTTCTTTAAATTATCCCGCAAAAAAAGTTTTAAAAGCCATCTTACATGAATGGCAAGAGCAATAAAATCAGAACTTACTTCACTCTCAAGGGCTGAAGCTGCTGTTCCACGATGTGCCGGTTCTATTGATAGAAGAGAATCCAAGAGAGTTAAAGCTGATGAAGGAAAATCCTTGAATGTCTCTGCAACACAACGCTTATATTGGTGCTGAGGTTTGAAGATAGTTGCATTTGGCAACTTCAGTTTCTTCCAGTACTCATCATGTGGTGATCCACAGAGTTTAAAAATCTTGTGCAGTTGTTCCACCTAGAGGTAGATGACCGGATGAGAAATCAAGAATTCATCAACCATCAGAATTATGTGCCAATTTGAGAACCATAACAGAATAGTGAAATCTCTGGGGAAAGTATAATTTGATTATTTTGATCAGAAACATGCCTTTATTTGTAAATCCAATTAAATAGGAAATAAAAATTAAAACTTCCAAAACCTTCTAAAATTTACCTATTCTTAAGGGAAAAAAAAAAAGCTTCTGTTACTTATTCCAGCATAAAATCTTCACACTCATCGATTCTTTAGAACAGTTGAGGCGGTGAAAAGTTTTAAGACAGATAACAAGAAAAAGAGCAAGAATCATGACTTCAACAATGGAAATGAAGTGATGGTGGTAATGCGGTTTTGGTGCAGAATCTGACTGTAACAGTGGCACAATGGAGCAACAATTTAGTTGTGGACTACAGATTATACGGTTGGAACATATACTATTGAACGTTAAACTTCAAAAAAGTGTACTTTTTGGATGATCATATATTTCATTAAGCAATTATTCAAAGAATGAAGGTGACTTCAACTATGAGTAGAACTTTAGGGAGCCAATTCGAATGAAAATAACAGCTGATATGTTTGAAGTGGATCATCGCAATAAAATAAGAGCCCTTCATGTTCGATTCTCTTTATGCAAATTATTTGAAACATTCCTTTTCTGTATCAATTTGGGTTGTTTCGCACATTCTTTAATTTGTTATATCCAAGTGCTTAAGCAGAAGGGTTATACCTCCGTTCTTCCAGGCATGACTGGCTTCCCTGCAAGCAACTCTGCAAGGATGCATCCAGTACTCCACAAATCAACGGCAACACCATACTCTGTAGCACCAAGCAAAAGCTCAGGGGGTCGATACCACAGCGTTACCACACGACTTGTCAATGGCTGTTTCTGCTCAGGATTGAAAAGTGTTGCTAGCCCAAAATCTGCTATTTTAAGAATGCCATTATCATCAATCAGAAGATTTGAGCCCTTGATATCCCGATGCAAAACCCCTCGACTGTGACAATGAACAAGCCCTTCAAGCAACTGTTGCGTATAACACTTCACCTGAAATGCATATTAAGGCAGTCTGAGAATATGTGTTTTCAGAAAATTAAACTGAAATTTCTAAATATATGCAAGAGAGACCTGTGGTTCAGTAAACTTGACACCAGGCTTTGCAGCAAGTCCCGCGAGATCATGCTCCATGTACTCAAAAACAAGATACAAGTTGCATGACTTTTGTGATGCAACTATTCCTTCAAGCTTTATAACATTTGGGTGATCAAGCCGGCGCAGAACATGAATTTCTCGTGCCATAAAGCGAACGCTTTCAGGATCCATATTAACAAATCGCACTTTCTTGAGTGCAACAAATTTTCCAGTTTCATGATCACGGGCTCTATACACAGTACTGTAAGTTCCTTGTCCAATCTGCAAACATGACATATTTAGCAGAGATGATATAACCGATGCACATGATCATTCTGAATGACCAAATAAAATATTGCGCAAGATTTATTTTTATCACCAATTTTTTTTGGTCAAGAATTAATAAAAACTACTCGTTGCTCATTATGCATATAGCCTTTTTTTTCAAAGAAATTACTACTTCAATAAACAGCTTCAATGACCCAAGGATGAATGTTGACATTACACCAATGGAAGCATTTCAGGGAATGAAGTGGAAAGTTTGTAGTTACTTATCATTTGCAGATCACCTAATATGTCAACAAGCCTATAAACTGACTTAAATGCCAAGTAGCCTGAAAGAATCCTAATCATCATTCCACATTCATTTATTGGAATGGCCTGATAGCAGTACTGATTAAAGAAAAAAAGGTGTATCTTAAGATCACAAATCAGTTTTGTTTATATTGAATTCATCTCATACTAGCCTTTCTATATAGGTATATGATAGGATTCTTCATTAAATAGGGAGAGTTAATCTTCTCTTATTTGTATCCTAAAAACCAGTCTTTAAATGATTCACATAAAGACGACACAGAGTTGGGAATAAACTGTATACAATGGTATAAAATAATGTTTGGTATTTCAAATACTCTGATTATTTTGACCTAGAACAAATTGTAGCTACTGGATCATAAATCCTCATAATTTGTGACAGACAACAAAGCAGCAAATAAGCATCACTAGTTCAAGAGGAAGAAGGAACAAATGTTTCCTAACCTTGTCTAGTTTCTCAAATGATCCGGCTCTCCGAGGCTGCCACCCGTGTACTGCTTCCGCGGCTACATCAGTTAGCCAAGAAGGCCAGCCGGCCACAGCATGTTCCCCGGAGAAGGCCTCGGCCTCAGTCGGTGCATCTGCAGCTTCCAGACCATCTCTATTTGCCCCCGCTTCTGCGGTAGGCAGTCTCTGCTGTTGCCCGCCGTCATCCCTTGCACTTTCAGAACCACCAGCGGCTTTCTTCTCCCCCGCTGCAGCTGGTGAGGGCGGGGAGGTAACAGCATCGTCTTGTGGTTTCGATACGTTGCCGTTAATTGCGACATCAGCGATGGCTGCCACAACCTCCTCTTTCTTGGAGATTGTGACGAACCGCTTCAAGGACTTTGTCCGGTGGGTCTCGCCGTCGCCGTCCGGGTTGATACCTTTCGAGCAGATGCAGCCCATAAACGCAGCAAGTGCACGCGGTCTTCGTCTATTGGCAGCACAAGTACATTTGCTCCGGGTGCATTACCCAAAAAATCAATCGCGCTGATTCCAATCTCCGCGTTGCATTCAATTCGAGCGAGTCCGAAAAGATTCCGAAATCTTCAATAGATGAACACAATCGCTCAGTGAGAAGCCAAAAAGATCCAATCTTTTCCGAATTATACAACAACTTTCGGCACGCAGGATCCTCCTCATCAACACACAAATTGTGTCCAGATTCGAACGTGGACGGACAAAGGAGCTGTAAAAGCCCTGACCGCAATGCACAAGATTTCGATCAAAAGCTGCCGCCTTTCCAGGAAAAAAACAACAACAGGATCATTATCTTTCAAATTAACACAGAAAGAAGAGGAGCTCCAAGTCCGGTCTTAGGGAAAAAGAAAGCACACAGAATTAGACCAAAAGTCGCTCTTTTTTTGGGTAAAAAATGAAAAAGAAGAGAAAAGAGATTAATTCTAGCAACCTGTCAGAGGATTGGAGGAGAGTAAAGGTAGGGGAGAGGGTTTTGCGGATCCCCAAGCCCTAAAATCCCGCTGAGCCAACGCATTTTTCCCGTTCTTTTTTCCTTCTAATCCGGCCGAAATGTTTCATCAAGAGAGGAGAGCACGACGATCCCGTTCGACGAGCGTTGCATTCACCCTACTTCAGATACCTTTTTCTCTACCCGCGTAGATACTCGACAAACTGCAACCGACCCCACTTGTAAAGCCCAAATTGCCCGTCAGAGTGACCGCGAGGGTAAGACGGGAGCGTCCGAGAAAAGATGGGCCCGAATCAAAACTTCGTGCGCGCCAGTTTCCGCCATCGCCCAGATCTCGGCCGTCCGATTCGTTCGCGATGGTGGCGGGCAGCAGTTGCGGGTAACGGTCGAGTGGCCGTACCGGTTTGCGGTGTGGTTCAATGTGCTCGGGCGGATCTCATCCACATCCAAATCTGCTACTTGGGTAGCCGAACCCAACCAAATGGCAAGTGGAGTCGATGCAGACAATTAGACTCGACTTCGGCACTCATCGATACAACGTGACATTGCCACGAATCTCAAAGCACGACAAAATTAGATCGTGTGTTTTGACGGTGATGCAGCGTCGTGTTCGGCACGTGAGTGGCCAAACCCAAACGAATCGGATCCAAGTCTAGCGTCCGCATCGCGAAGGATGCCATACCGCGGACTACCATTTATGCTTGCGGGCGCCGCTTTTGTTCTCTACTCCGGTGTCGTCTTCTCGGCCTCTTGCTAAGACGCAGGGTTTCTCCTTCGGTAATCTGAGCTCTATTATCTCTTTAATCTTCCGTATACTCGACTCCAATCTATTCATTTGGGTTTAATCCTCTGCGATTGGGTCGTGTTAGCATCGGTTATGGTGACTGCGCTCGGATCTTGTTAGGGTATGTTGTGACGCCTCCAATTTGTTCGAGAATCGCAAAATTATGATCATTCTTGGTTCCTGTGTAGGGTAAAAGGAATCTGATGTTACAATAATGGTTGTTTGCTGAGCTTCTGGAACTTGCATTTAGTTGGTAATGATAGAAACCTGGGTTCATGACCAGATATCTTGTGTAGGGTTGTCGTGGTGGTGTAGGTGCATGTCGATCGTGCATTTGACAGTCGTATGCCCAAATTTTTGTCAGAATATTTAGGTTTGAGTTGTCGAGTATGTTATATCAGCACTAGATGGATTCCAGCTGCATGATATAGGTCAGTAGGCTTTGCAAGAAAAACTACAATCTTCACGAATCACTTATGGACCTAGTAGACCTCTCTTTGGCATATTAGAGGATCGAGGTGGACAATTCTACCAAATTTCTTCAGTTAATCGATAATGAAAACATAACTGATGTTTCTTAGGTGTAAAGCTAAACTTGTAGGGTTAATCAAAATGGAATCTTATGTAGGATTTCTGCAAAACTATGCACTAACAGTTGAATGATGTCTATGCAGCACCATCTACACTTAGACTGCTTGATACTGGCAAGTAATCATGTTTAAAAAGCCAGTTGAGGCAAAATTATTGCAGCGTCTATCAGGAGCAGATAAGAAGAAGCTGAGAAGAACCACAAAGGACAGATTTCCACATGCTTCAGATGCTAATATTGATGAAATTCTTCCTCCTAAGGTAAAAAGTGGCAACTAGTTTATGAAATGACGGAAACCTGTAATATGCATGAGGGATACAACATGGGCCATGAATAGGATAAGTGCACAGCAACTTGTATCTCTGTCTTTGCTTTCTTTCAAGTAGTCATTTTACTTATGCTGTGTATATCACAAAATCGTTTTACCATTATGTATGTAATTGTGTTGGCACATTATTTTGGAGTTGCACAATTACTTTCTGTATATTGTTAGATTATAACTACATGAATTTTAACTGGAGGATAGGAAAAACAGAAAGGACAAACAGAGGTTAACATGAGTGTGAGTGGCAATAAAAGATTTGAAAAATGCTTGACCTTGTTATTGGCATAACAATTAGTGTGTTAGGATTTGTGAAGGTTGTACTTCCTTAAAAGTATCCGTGAGTATAAATAAGGTCTATTTAAAAAAGGAATTGGAAAAAGAAAGAAAAGTTAAAAGCTGATGTGTCCAGAGCAAACCTTAGTTGGCACTTAACCTTCAGTTGATAAGTCATCATTGTAATGTGTATAACAACCCAAAAAATGATGCCTGACTTGATGGTGGATGTGTGGAGGCACAATTTACAGTTTACACCGAAATTCCACAGTTTTATAAACTAAATTAATTTATCAGTCTTGTGCAGATTTATGGTTTCAACTTTTAAGAACAGCAAATTATAGTATAGACTTGAAAAAGATTTACAGGTTTGATGAGACCACATAATAATTAACAAAAAATGTTTCATATATGTTCCGCGAGATTTTATTACTTGTCATCAATGAAAATATTGTTTAACAAGTTCTCTTACTATGGTAAATTTATTATAATTTTGCTTTTGTATAGGATACAATTGATCAATGCATGCGTGCTTTTTGTTGTCACTGAGAACAGCGATTTACAAAGGCGCTCGAGCGCTTGCCTAGGCGCTCGGGCGAGGCGAGGCGAGGCCCGAGCGCCTCGCTAATCCTCGCCTCGCCCAAGCGCCTCGCTAATCTTCCAGGCGGCGCGCTTCAAAGAGGCACCGCCTGGGCGCTCGCCCGAGCCCAAGCGCTGGGCGCTTCGGGCGAGCGCCTGGGTTAACCAAGGCGACCGAACCAAGATTTTAGGTCTGGTTCGGTCTCCGATGGTTAGTTGGTTCAATCGAACCAACTAAAGCCGATATCAGTGACAACCCAACCCTAACCCTCGTTGGCGCTGCCACTCCCGATCCCGCTGCTCGCCGCTGTCGCTGCTCGTAAACGCTGCCGCTGTCACCGCTCACGCCTCCTGCTGCTCGTCGCTCCTGCTCCCGTTGTCACTGCTCGCCGCTGTCGTTGCTCGCAAACGCTGCCGCTGTCGCCGCTCGCGCCTCCCGCTGCTCGCCGCTGTCGCTGCTCGCAAACGCTGTCGTTGTCGCCGCTCGCGCCTCTCGCTACTCGCCGCTCGCGCCTCTCGCTACTCGCCGCTCCTGCTCCCGATCCCACTGCTCGTCGTTGTCGCTGTCGTCGCTCGCGCCTCCCGCTGCTCGTCGCTCCCGCTCCTACTCCCGTTGCCGCTGCTCGCCGCTGTCGCTGCTCGTAAACGCTGCCGCTGTTGCCGCTCGCGCCTCCCGCTGCTCGCCGCTCCTGATCCCGCTCCCGTTGCTCGCCGCTGTCGCTGCCGCTATCATCGCTCACCGCTGCCGCTGTCGCTGCTCGCTGCTGCCGCTGCCTCCTTACACTCCGCTGCCACTGCTGCTTCCTCTTTTCTCAGTTAGCAGGCTCAGCACCCCCTTACACTTCCTTCTCCTTCTGTTAACAGCATACAGTATACTGTTAATATTGTTAGGTTTATTTGAAATTATTAATTTTCAATATTGTTAATAGATTTTCTTAATTTAATAGAATATTTTAATTTTAAATTTTAAATAATTATATTATATATTTTTATATTTTAGCGTCTCGCTTCGTTCGGGCGAGCACCTAGCGCCTCGGGCGTTTTTGGACCTTGGCGCCTTTTGGCGCCTAGCGCTTTTTAAATCACTGATTGAGAATGACTTTCGTAATTTTATGCAGCATTCCAGAATTCCTTCTTTTACTGTGTTCAATAGTGTTTGGCAATAATAACTAGATTGCAGCATATTCATGAATCTCTAGTTGAATACATATGCAAATACATTCCTTGCTTTTGACGTCTGGAGATCTCTCGGGCCTATGCTTTTCTGCTACCTTATATCTTGAGATGACACTTTTAATTTGATTTTCACAAGACCCAAACTACATTTGCAGTTCAAAATATATTTGCAAGTCAGTTTTGATGAGACAGACGAGGGACACATCATATTTAATATAACTCTTTTTTGACTTTTGCAATATAACTCCACTTGCAGTTCAAAATCTGTTTACAAATCCATGCATTTGCATCATTTTTGTTCTGTCTCATTCTGTATAATGCATAATGCTATTTTTTTTTGCTTGAATCTATAATTTGCTGCAACTTACTTTTTTTTTTTTTCCTTTTCCCAACAAAACATTTTTAGGCTGACATAACAGTGGCTAAATACACAAATAGGGTTCATGTTTATGTTATAGAAGGAGGGCTTCCTATGATTTTTGACATTGATGGACGAGGCACTGAGATATACCCAACAGGTGTTTACAATTTATTGCGTTCTTATACTGTAGTATACTATGTTCTCTCACATTTCTGTCACTGTGTATGTTTCCCTTTTCGGTATTTCTTTCATGAATGAGCTGATTTTTATTTTGTTTGTCTATCATTAACATAACGATACTCTTAAAGGACCTTTTGTTTTTGAAGGAAAAATCAACAGTAATCATCATGCTACCTTTTTTATTGAAAAGTGCTTTTATGGTCATTTATGAAGCGTTTACAATTTTTATGCTGCAGTTAGGCCTTTAAGTTTCTCCAAAAGACATTCACTTTATGGATTTTAACAAGACAACATGAACCAAAAGAAAAAAAGGAACTAGAATGAAGTTAACTAGGATTAATGTGGCCTGGTTGGTCAATTTATCAAGAAAAAGAAGCTTTTCAGCCTTATGTTGGTAGAAACACCTCAAGATTCTTTTTAGACAGGTCTACATGTTTGCATCTCTAAATAAATTCAATCTACATTATCACATTTAATGATTTTTTTGCCCGTTAGTTAATGACTCTGTTCAGGTAAATGTGTGCTTTAAGAACTATATCAACTTCTAAAGAATGCAGTCTTAAACTAACTGATCTGTCATAAACATTCAATCTAATACCAATATGATATGAATGGTTATGATGTTACCTTCATGATGTGCAAGAATTTTTTTGATTGAATACAGGAGCTGGTCTATATTCAAAATCATGTCAACTAAATGGGTGGTTGATTGCAGATGTTTTCCACCATGGAAACTGAACTCTTATCAAGGATCATGGTGATCAGCAAACTTATCTCTCCAAATGATAATCATACAGAAAAAGGAGGAGAGCATCAACAAATAAGAAAATTTGGAGCATTTATATCAACTGGCATTATTGAAAGGACAATTTTTAAGGATGATTAATTGGAAGCTTTGCCTTCCATTTTGGCTTTTTTGTCTTTTATATTTCATCAACTTTTATTATAGTTCCCAAATGGTGATGTGTTGGTACTTGAGCTATATATATAATAAAATTAAGAATTCCTTTACTCATTAATAGTTGGCTTTGACTCTGTGTAATGACATCCTTTCTTTGAGTTTGGTTTGAAGGAATTGAAGCAAGTCCAAGATATTGAAGAATTATATTGTTACAATTGATGAGAGTCTATTTGTAGTTAGTTCTGAGTTTGAGTTATAGGGACAAACTTTAAAAATTAATAGTTTTAGTTTATGTAGGACTAAAAATGTATGTGTAAATTTCAACTTCAGTAATGCTATAAGAAAAATAGAGAGTATAGTCAACATAGCTAGATAAAATTTATCATGAATAAAAGTTTAAAGAATATTGAATATATTTCAACAGAGAATGGAGTTTGACTATATTTTTTTCTAAATAAAAGTGTGATGATTAAAATTGTGAGGGGCATGGAAGGTTCTGTTGATCTTTGTGTAAATGCAAAATGATAAGTTATCTGCAAGGCTAGCCAAACTTTATGGAATGGAGTATTTGGCAGTTTGTACACATGTACAAATAATAGTGTTACCAACATGAGAATGTTGAGATGGATGTGTGAGATCAGTAAAATAGATTCAATAAGAAATGCCTATTTTTTTAAATGAGTAAGCTCTCTTCTTATGAGGGTCATGTGAGGGAAAACCATCAAAGATGGCATGAATTTATTCAAGGAGATCTTCAAGTGCTCTGGTCAGACGAATTGAGTCAATTATAATTACTGTTGCAAGGAGAAACAGTGGGTAATCTAAGAAAACGTCACCAGGAACAATAAGATTAGATTTGACTTTGCTCTTAATTTGAATACTATATAGCCATAAATAGGGCTCAATGTCAAGGAAAGATCCATGTAGAAATAGGTGCGACATTGCAGCTTGTTGTTACTTGTTATTGTCCGGTGTCATATAGAATTCACTGCTTCTAGTTTTATCTGCTTTCAATCTTATGCAGTTTTTCATACTAGTTTGGGTTTCTACATGTTATAAGTATTATTCATCTATATTGTCACTGTATTGCCAGTGTCATGATATGATATATATTTTCATATGCTGGGAGTTGGTTTTGACATGGATACAGTCATGTAAAGATCAAAGGTTCATAAAGAGTATACTTCTGAATTGCTCAAATTTCTTCGACTATTTTGGTTTTTTTTCTTCCCCTTTTTCTATTAGCTGTTTTATGATGCTTTCTCTTGTTTGTTTTATGTGACTCCACAATAGCTTACTGTGCATATTTAGGATGCAAAAGGTCCAACATGCTGAATTTGGTAATTTGGTTAGAGGTTCGTATTAGGCAATTGAATTGGCTAAATGGATGCATCTTTCAGCAGAATGATATTTTTCTTGATCTATCTTGTTTTATGGTTATACACTCTACTGACCAGCAGTGACATTATTGTAATTGTAAAGACAAGGTTTTAACTAATTCCAAACCATATTGATTATTTATATTTAGGAAATCAGGTGTTTGTTAGATTACTGGTAGACTGAGAATTTATTATATTGTTGAATTCACAGTTTATGCGCTGTGGAAAGTTCCAGAACTCGTACCATCCTTTCTGCTCAAGGGTGGTGAGGTTTCTCGCTATGTGATTGGAGGTGCTGATTTGATGTTCCCTGGTATTAGTATACCTCCTGAAGGCCTGCCTTCATTCTTATCTGGGCAACCATGGGCAGTAAAAGTTCCTGGCAATCCAGCACCAATCGCAGTAAGTGTGCTTTATCTATAACATTAAGTTATTGTGTTTAAAGTTCCATTCTCTTCCTGCATTCTGGTGCAAACCATTGTTGTGATGTGTTACCCAATTTCTACAGGTTGGAGCCACCACTATGAGTAGTTCAGAAGCCCTAAAAGCTGGTTTACGTGGGAAGGCTTTAAGAATAACACATTATTATCGTGATTATCTGTGGTAAGTATCTTGGCCGAAGGCTGGGGAAATTTTTAACCCGACCTATTATCTTAATGTTGCTTTTGTTCCATACAGGCAATCAGCTGAAGGTCACTATATTCCAAATGCTGGCTTTTTGGAAGATGTTGTCATGGAAGATCCTAATTTATTGTCAGTTTCTCAGCCAGCTGATGAACCTTTGGATGCTTCAAATGATGAAGATCATGTTAATACAGCAGAAAGAGATCGTGTTGATACATCAAGTATCCATGCCACCACAGATATTGATGCTCCAATGAACTTAGATGTTACTGATCAAATCTCTGAAGAAATGACTACTGATATAAGTGGGCTAAAAGTATCAGACAATGTTACAGCTGAAGAACCAAGTGATGAGAAGGAACAGCAAACTTTGTCTAGTGAAGAAATTGATGCCCTCCTGGACAAATGCCTCTTGCAAGCATTGCATGCAACGGTTAAAGATAAAGATCTTCCCATGCCTGGAAGCACACTATGGTAAAACTTCCTAGTTTTCAAGCCGTTTATCCTGATTGTTGAATCAATAACTTTCTGTCAGTTATTTTATTCTTCCTATTACAAATATAATTTTTTTGCTGTAATTGTTGGCTCAGAAAGTTACTAGTTAAGTTTGTTCAAATTTGTTGTGTATTAAAGGGTAATAAATGTCATATGATTCTGCCCATCCGTGAAACTGGTTTATTTTTCAACGACAAGGTTAACAGCAGAAGTGCCATGACGGATGTTAGATTTCATGTCCTAAAGATTTAGCATTTTAGTATATAAAAGGCTGAAATTTTGTAGTCATGCTTTTATTATTCATGTTACTCTTTGCCCTTTCTATAGGTTGGAGCTGTCTGTCGATTCTGTATCACATTTTTGCCAGTAACCATGGAAGTCACAGACTCTAATAGTTCATACTGGTTTTGTTGATAATTTCATAGGACTTTTGTTATATTACCAAGCCATTACGTTATAACCTATCATGGCATGTCATATTGAATTGAGTTAGAGACTTACTGCCTATACCCTCTATTCTGCTCGAAACAAAAGAAAACTGAGACTTGTCAACTACATTAAGTTCAAGTGGTTGGTCTTTCTTGCTATCTCTAGATTCTCTACCAGGCAACATTAGATGTGTGAAACGAATATATGCTTACTTCAAGTACAATATGTTTTCTGTGCTTTAAGCCTTGAATTGTCCTCTAAATAATTCAGTTTTCTTATGTAATATGCTTGTGGCACATAGGTCAAACCATGTACTACCATGCAGACCTTCAGGCATTACTTTGGACATTAAAAAATCTTCTCATAAGAAACTTTCGAAGTGGTTGCAATCCAAATCTTCTGCTGGGCTGGTGAGCATTTACCCAAAGCTTTTAGTAATATTTTGAAAAAAGAAATTATGGTACTTCTTTAGTTTGGGTTTCTTTATCAGTGTAAGAGCATTGAATAATCTTGAACAGACACACATACAATCAGTGATAGCACTGTTTGGGAGTGATTTTTAAGTTCTTGTTGGTATGTGAAGCTATTTTCTCAAATTTCCCTTTACTGTGAATAAAATTGAGAGTTCATCCATCTATTTCTGCTCTAGCAGTATACAAGCATGCTATCCTGCTAGGTTGTCTATTCCTTATGAAAAATGCACATGATTACTAGCTGACCTTTTTTTTGGTTTATAGAATGAGCTTCTCCAATTATCTAAGATGTGTTTAGGCAACTGTCTAGGACCAAATACTTCTTGATCAAAAGTCATCTACTATCTGGATCCTGGAATGAGGACTCAGTTCTGCATTTTTATATCATTTACGTCGTTAAATATTTTCATCTAATCTTCACATCTGATAATGAAACAAATAACGACACCTTCCTAATTGGAACAGCAGCTTCTAGGATACTACTTAAAGTATGAGCATGTACAAAGTAATGTGCATGATTATAGTGCTTATTGAATATAGTTTCATTTTTTTACAGTCGTCTTTATGAGAAATTTGGATGGGAGTTAATGAGTTATTAGACATTTGATGTTTATAAGCTGATGCAAAAGGTTTCTTTTCTTGTTGATTGCTATTTCTGAACAGATATCAGCAAAGGAGGATAAATATAAAAAAGAGGTCATGTTACTTAGCATTAACCGTTGTCATCAACAGTTCATGGCATTTAAGCCAGAGAAACGGGTACCAGAAAATGCTGAACAAAGGCATGATAACTCAGTCAGTGAGGGTGCACACACGAAACTACAACTTGAGGTAGTTGAAGTCTACAAACCAAGCACTCATGTAAAGTCCATATTCACCGCTGTTGGAGCTGACACCGGAAGCTATTATAGTGCATCAGATGCCACGGACATTGCCTTCAGGTGCATTTGATGTTAAAATCCTGCTTTTCGCTTCTAACAGGGTTTGCTGAATCACATGGCTTATAATATCTTTTTGTTATCACTTCTTTTTTTCATTTTCTGTTGTGATGTTCTGGAATAGTCACTATTTAGTTTAATTCTTGGCAAGTCAGATATGTTGAGAAGGAAAATCTGGTTAAGCCAACAGATAAGGCAATGGTAACTTTGGATGCTGCGTTGTGTGATGCTCTTTACAAAGGGACTATCAAGAAGGGCTCAACTTATCCCACAGACGTCCACAAGAAAGATCTAGGTTCAACATTTTTAAGCAGGATGCAGATTCATCATAGAGTATCAAAAGGAAATGAAGTTGCCGTGCGTAAGGGTGCTGTGAGACCCATTCAGATTATGACTGAACGACGACAAGGGAACAAGAAGGTGACAAGGGTCTCAGGCTTGGAAACTTTTTTGATGGATGCTGACTCACTGGCTTCTGAATTGCAAAAGAAGTTTGCGTGCAGTACATCGGTGGCAGAAATTCCAGGTTTGATCTTATTCAATTAGCAGAAGGTTGATTTTTGTATAATTGTTGTAGAAGGACAAGCATGATTTCTTTGTTGATGCATTGACTACTTGCACGACAATCCAGGTGCTTTTGGATAGTTCACAATCAAGTCGAGATAGTTTCATTTGTTTTATTATTTATAAGTAGGTAATATATTGACCTATATAACAGAAGGTGCTGTGAGAAGCATCGAATACCAAATATGTTCAAATAACGTGAAAGGAATAATGACTCTTTGATTATCAAAGTTGTCACCCTTAATGGAGCCAAATGATTGGAATGTATTTGTTCGCTGTCGTGGGTATTGTGTTACTAAGATAATCAAACGTTTGAAGGACTTGGGAAGTCTGAATATATATGATTGCTCATTTCATTGAGGCAGTCTTGCTAAGACTAGAAATCATCTGCCTGACTAAATTTTACTGCATATGATATTTTGACATGTAGATCGTACCTGTGACTATTATCAGCACATATTCAGATTAGAATATCTGCGAGACAATCAATAAGAACTATTGGAGTTTTTGTTTGAAAATTTAAATGGCAATGAAAGAAAGGAAAGTAAACATGAGGTAGTTTCAGTATTGTCTTGCAAACGGTAATTGGAACAGGTAATTGCCGAAAGCTTCATTAACAGTGTTGTATGCTATCATTTACATGATACTATATCAGAAATTTCTGGGTTATTTTGTAGAATCTGGTTTCCATCTCTTTGTGCTTTTCAAGTGACTGCTCAACATGGTGCTTGCATCATTGTCATTCTGGCTTCGATTTGCTGGATTTGTGTTTCAATTTATCTAATGGATTTTCCATGCAAATTTTTACTTGGTCGAGTGATTTCAGGTAAGAAGGGACAACATGAAGTGCTGGTTCAAGGTGGTGTGATTGATGACCTGGCGAAGCACCTTGTGGACCACTATGGCATTCCAAAGAGACACATTGAGGTGTTAGACAAAACCAAGAAATGATACGTGGAGGACCGAGCGGCCTGTATCAGTAGTTTCTCCTTCCTTTTGGATTATAAGACCTGCTTCTGGATGATAATGCTGATGTTTCCGAGTTGAAATGAAGATGCTTTTTCTGAGTTCAGTAAATTATATCACATCTGTATTCGATATTGAGACTACCTGTTGTTGAGAGAAAGGTGAAGAGCGGTTAAATTTCTCATGGCTGTGTTTGCGTGAACTTCGTATGGTTATTTGTAATTTTGTACCGTTGTCGGTAGGTATAGCTCTGTTAGGTTCTTGTCACCTTTTAATGTGGTGCTTATAATTCTGCCACTTCAGTTCTATTTGGTCTGACGACAATTGTAATTGTCGGATCCAGCAAGCATTAAAACTTTGGTCCTTATGTAAATAATCTGTCAGATCAGAGCAGTTCGGTGGTGACATCAACATTTAGGTAAGTTGAAGACAGTTCGTTGACATTCCTGCCGTCATCACATTATAGTAGTTCCGTCAAAAACGATTGCAATTAAAACACATAATAATGATATGTGGAGGCGTGTGGCTCATAGTGTCACACCAGCCATATGGAGAGAGAGGCCTGAGACGCGCATCGCAGGGGCCGACGTCCTACCATAATCCACCTTTCCTCGACGACTTGGCTAACTTGGTTGGACGAAGATGATGTCACGCGTCACCGCTTCCATTTTCGAAGACCGTCGCGTAGTGCCTCAAGTGTCTGCTCTCGCTGGGCTTCCGCCCGTTCCATGTCCTCCGGTCGCTAACTGAATCGTAACTTAAGTTGCGCTTCACCGCAAGCTCACGCCATTGCACGTGATCATCACGCGATTCTTATCCCTTCATTACCCCCCTCCACCGTAAGCGTCCCGGTGTCGCGGCCACGCCACTAAAGGAGCACTAGAGCGAGCAAAATGACGCAAGCGCCCCGCCCTCCGCTCCCGTGGACCACGCGGATCTCCGTCGCCGTCGCCTCTGCCGTCACCGACGCCGCCCGCCGCTCCAACGGCACCGTCAACCGGCGCCTTCTATCTCTCTTGGACGCCCGTTCCCGGGCCTCCGCTAAACCCTACCGCGGCGTCCGCTCCGCTGACGTCGTCGTCGACCCGGTCCACCACATCTGGTTCCGCCTCTTCGCCCCCTCCGACTCTGCTGCCGCCGCTGGCGAACCCTTCCCCGTCATCGTCTTCTTCCACGGCGGCGGGTTCGCTTTCCTCTCCCCCGCCTCCCGCGCCTACGACGCCGTCTGCCGCCGGATCTGCCACGAGGTCCGCGCCCTCGTCGTCTCCGTGAACTACCGCCTCGCCCCGGAGTACCGCTATCCGGCGCCGTACGAGGACGGGACCGACGTGCTCCGCTTCCTGGACCACGGGGGCCTCGCCTCCGCTGACCCGGCCGCGGCCGACCTCTCCTGCTGCTTCCTGGCGGGTGACTCCGCCGGGGCGAACATCGCCCACCACGTGGCCCGGCGCTGGGCCGCGGGCGCCGGGTGGGAGAGGGTGCGTCTCGCAGGGATGGTGCTGATCCAGCCGTTCTTCGGCGGGGAGGAGCGGACGGAGGCGGAGTTGCGGCTGACCCGGGTGCCGCTGCTGTCGGTGGAGCGGACGGACTGGATGTGGCGCGCGTTCCTGCCGGAGGGGGCGGACCGGGACCACGAGGCTTCGAACGTGTTCGGCACGCGGGCGGCAGCCGGGGAGCTGGAGGCCTCGTTGCCGGAAGCGATGGTGGTGGTGGGGGGATTCGACCCGCTGCAGGACTGGCAGCGGCGCTACTACGAGGGGCTGCGGTCGAGGGGTAAAGCGGCACGGCTGGTGGAGTACCCGGATGCCATCCACGCCTTCTACGCCTTTCCCGAGCTGAAGGAGGCGTCGGCGCTGATGGAGGAGATCAAACGCTTCGTCGACGCCCATCGATCACCAGCAAAATAGCACCAGTAACAGCACAGTAAAGTTGCTGGAGATTGTGATCAAATAAATAAACAAATTAAAATGTCATATCAATCCATCAAACATTTTCCCCATGAATTATAACCTATAATACCCTACAAAATTTCCAACACCTCCAATTTTTGCATCATTTTTAACTAAAATGATTGATGCTATAATTTTACTATTCTTAGAATCTTTTTATTTTATGGGGTTTGAATAATATTTTATTAAGTTTATCTATTTCAATAAAAATCGAATTTAAATTTATTTATTAAGAGTTTTAAATTAAATTTTATAAATATGAATATATCGATTTTTTTATAAAAATATTATTTCAATCTTTTGACAAATCATCGATCTATCATCATTAAACCAGTAATTTTCTCATCTAATTGGATCATAATAACAATTCTGTTTTTGAAATCTTATTTTAATCTCTCATTAATCTAATATCTGGTAAACTTTTTCTCTTGTCGATTAGGAATAGAATTAATTGGGCTTATGTAACCAAATGTTAGCAACTATAATTGATAATAAAGACACACTATAAACATATTTAATGGCATGATGATTTCAGCTTTATAATGAGCTGTATTTATCATTTCGATGTTAATATATCCCCTTTTTATCACTTGTCTTTTGTACCAAAAATTCTTAATTAAATAAAACAGAATAACTGTTCTTTGTTTATATATATATATTATTAACTATTTAATATATTTAATAAAACCTCAAATTTTAATTAGAGTAGTAATTAGGCCTTCGAAATATAGTCAGCGGTTGGTGACCGTCGATTGGGTCCGGATCAAGCTCATCTGGCCCGTCGATTCATGATCTATGGTTGGCTCAAGTGAAGGCCCAACAGTACCTGTCGTGGTTGCGTTTGGGGAGTTAGCCAGCTTGGTATCAACGGTCCAGATCACATCTACGACGAAGTGCTGGGAATGAACCCTAAGCTCCCACTTCCTGGCTCGAAGCATCCGCCCCGTTTCGGCCGCCGCCGCCACCACTTTGGAGAGGCCGAGAGCGCGTCTGCGTGCTCGACTTAATCTTTGGCCACCTCCCTCATCAGCCGTAGCAGACTGCGACGGTAACATCGAGAAGACGAGCTCGCCCACGCCTTCTCGACGGACTCCCGTCCTCGCCACCGCCCGTCCAGGGGAGGAGGCAGAAGAGGTACGAGTGGCTACCCGCGCTTCCTCGTTTGATTTTGTTGCTCGGTTTTCGATCGCCTGTGTCTGTTCCACGGGATTAGGTCGTCCTCGTTTGATTTTGTTCGGTTATGTGGTTTCTTGTAGAACTGATAGTTGGCGTGTGATTTGATTTGTGTTGGTGTTTGGAGGAGGATGATCAGCTCATAAGAACAGAACCTGGTCTGAGATCGTGCTTGGCTTTCTGATTTATGAGTCACTTGATTTCCCACGATCTATGCCTCTATGATCTTGAGATCCTATTTTCTCTCCTTCGTGCGGTCTTCAGGGTTTGTTCGTGGTTTTCTAGTATTCTTGTACACGGGAATGGAGTTTGCTCTTTAGGCTTTCCTATGGGCGATCCTGACCAACAGTTCGATCAACCAGACTAGAACCTCCGATTTAGGCTGTTGTTCTCCTGATTCCTGAAGGCAGATTGTCGCTTTATTGCGTGTTCTCGCAAAGATTAGGTTTAGGTTCTCCTTACTCTGGGTTTCCTGTTCTCTGCCTTGATTTGTTATCATGTCTCTTGGAGTGTTAGAGCTGCATGATCGCTGTTAGTAAAGGGATGCTACTTTCCTCAAGTTTGGTGAATTGTGCTGGTCTCATTAGGTTTGAATGGCTGCCTGGGCTTTGTGCTTCTTGCACTATTTCATCTGTGGTCAGTAAAGATTCCAATTCCTGATGGACTAATTTAGATGCTTCCGCTCTTGCATTGTGGTTACTTGTCTTCTCGGTAAGGAGGAATGCAAAGCCTCAATCATATGTTTATTAATCTCCCCAAAACTACATCCTGATACATTGATCTTATGGAAACATAACTCCTCCAGTGGAAATTTAGAATATAAATAAAGCCAGACATACAACCAACAAGTCTCACCGGCCCAGCGGTACTGTCTCCTCTAAAATTATCAGGAACTTTGACATACACGACCTTTAGAAGTATAGGCTTCTTGTAACAGCATGTTATCCTTCCTGTTACTTACACCAATAACCATGAAATTACTGTGGATGAATTACCTTCTAACCAATCTTCAAAGCATTTTAGTTCATTTATCGCAATTTGAAGCCCTCCTAATATCCTCTTAAGTAGAAATAAAAGGAGACAACCCTTGTCCTCACAATTTGATTCGTATACAAAGGTCATTGTAATGCGCTGAGCTCTCACCAATGTGAAGCTTGGGGAGGTCAGTGGATGCAATGTTACCACTGTATAAAAAGAGGTTGTTTCAATAATTTGGACCTTGCTCACCTGGTACCAAAGAAGCAACCTTATCATGATGTCAAGACTCACTCTCCCACAATTCAATTTGTATAGTTCGTAAGAATGAATTCTACACTAGCCCATCCAATTAATTGATCATAAACATCATCAGATTTATTTTCACAAGTACCGAATCTTGGGAGTCCATTTAAAGTGGTAAGGAAAATGGACGATTCAAATCCAAGATAAAGCCATATTACATAAAGGCATTGATACATGGCTACTATAGTTTTCTTTTACTCATTAGGACTAGTTTGTAGATTGACCACTTGGTTTGGTTGGTTCCATGTAAGTGAAAGCATTACCAAATGCTCATATAAATGCATAGGGAAATAAAATTATGTTAGTATAGGTATAATGTAACAGTTGATATAATGTTTTCATTTATTAAGTTCATTTTTTTTATTTTTCTTACTTTCAGAATTTGTTATCTTTTTTATGCTTTTAACCTTCTGTGAACCAATGATTCTATGTTCCTTATTTTGCTTAATTGATTTATGGTGAAATATGTGTATATAGCCAAAACACACCATGTCTATGACTTTCTTAGGAACCCCTCGCAAGAGTAGAAAAAGTTATGGAAGGAATACATATTTCAAGGGTGGCACAAATAGAGTTTGGAAATATCAAGCATAGGGTTGCCAAAATGAGATCAATTAAATAAATAGCTGGTTTCCAGTTTCAACATGTTTACAGTTTATGTTGGCTTTGCTAAACAATTTCATTGTTGGGAACTTGTTTCAGAGTTTTATATTTTGGAGATAATGCACCTTCTGAAAAACATTACTTTTGTGTTTTATTTAGACAATGTTGATATTTGGAATGTTTGCAAAAGTGCATACAACTCTATTTGTGTGTTTTTTGTGGGATTCTTTCTTATTCTTTTTTGTTTATGTTTTGTGTGTAACTTTTTTTTGTCTTAATATGGCAAGCCTAACATTTTGCTTGTTATATTTTAGTTTTTAAGTTAAGCTCTCCTCGCAAAGTAAAGTTGGTCAAATATAACTGATAGCTTTCTGTTACCATGTGGCCTGAACTTTTCTCTCTTTTGTTGATAGAGAACAAAATTTCAAATAATTAGTGTGTATTATTAACCATGTTGGCATGAAGTAGTATATTGTATCATTTGCTTTGATAAGGCTTGAAATATTGCACTGTAGTTCCGTGGGTTTCATGTTAACTCTCCTGCATCTCTATGGATGTCATTGCTAATTGATAGTTGGTATTGTGAAACAGTGTGCAACTTTGAAGCCAGAAGAATTGCTAGGTGAATTTGATCTGTAATCCACGTCGATCATTTAAGGGTGTTTTCAGTTGTTTTCATTGTCATAATTCGAAGTTGAATCAGCCTTTGAGGGGGTCTAGAGTGGATTTATGCAGTATGGGCAGACATGAGGGCACTTTGCTGCTTACATATTTGGCAGAGATTCAAAATGGGGAGCCCCTTTTCTTCTCATCAAATTCCCTTCCTGTAAAGGCATACAATTTTGAACCTGCAGGGCATGCATTTCATTTTGCTGCACTTAAACTGCTGGGATTGTGGGATGAAGAAGATGCTGAAACTGATGGACAAAGTGTTCAATCAGATGACAGGGGTCAAGAGCATTTACCATCTTCAGATTCTTATGGCAGTAAGGGCAGAAAGAAATCTAGTGCTGGAAGCACTCAAAAAGACCATTACGCACTCTTGGGCTTGGGGCATTTGCGGTTCCTAGCTACTGAGGATCAGATACGAAAGAGTTACCGTGAGACTGCATTGAAGCATCATCCTGACAAACAGGCTGCACTTATTCTTGCTGAAGAAACAGAAGAGGCTAGACAGGCTAAGAAGGATGAAATAGAAAGTCATTTCAAAGCTATTCAGGAGGCGTATGAAGTCCTAATAGATCCAGTTAAAAGAAGAATATATGACTCAACTGACGAATTTGATGATGATATTCCAACTGATTGTGCTCCACAAGATTTCTTCAAGGTTTTTGGGCCAGCATTTATGAGAAATGGAAGATGGTCTGTAAGTCAGCCTGTTCCTCCTCTAGGAGACGAGAACACATCTATGGAAGATGTGGACAGTTTCTATAATTTCTGGTACACTTTTAAAAGTTGGAGGGAGTTCCCTCATGCAGATGAGTTTGATTTAGAGCAAGCTGAGTCTCGTGATCATAAGAGATGGATGGAGAGGCAGAATGCAAAGTTGAGGGAGAAGGCTAGAAAGGAGGAACATGCACGGGTTAGGGCCCTTGTTGACAATGCTTACAAGAAAGATCCTAGAATTCTGAGTTGGAAGGAAGAGGAAAAGGCTGAGAAGAAGAGAAAGAAGGAGGCAAAAATTCTGGCAAGGAAGTTGCAGGAGGAAGAGGCAGCAAAAGCTGCCGAAGAGGAAAGGCAGCAAAAGGAGGAGCAAGAGAGGAAGATGGCAGAAGCTGCTCTGAACCAGAAAAAAATAAAGGAAAAAGAGAAAAAGCTCTTGCGCAAAGAAAGGACTCGTTTGCGCACTCTCTCTGCACAGTTGGTCTCAGAGAATTTGCTTGATCTTTCAGAAGATATTGTGGAAAGTATATGCATGTCATTTGACCTGGAGCAGCTCAAGCTTCTTTGTGACACGATGGAGGGTAAGGAGAAAATGGAGAGAGCCAAGTTGCTAAGGGATGCACAGGGTGGAAGCAGTTCAGATGTGATGAAAAAAGGGAAGACTACCAGTTTTCAAGACCTATCTCTGAAACCTAATGGCACTGTAACAGATGCCAAGGTGGGTGGTCCATTGAGCAACTATGAGAAGAAAGAGAGACCATGGGGAAAAGAAGAGATCGAGATGCTTAGGAAAGGCATGCAGAAGTATCCAAAGGGAACCTCCCGAAGGTGGGAGGTCATTTCAGAATACATTGGTACTGGGAGGTCAGTTGACGAGATCCTGAAGGCCACAAAGACGGTCCTCCTTCGGAAGCCCGACTCTGGAAAAGCTTTTGACTCTTTCCTTGAGAAAAGGAAGCCAGTTCAAACCATCTCTTCACCTCTTTCGACCAGACTGGAAACAGAGGCCCTCCCTGTTGATGGAACTCATGCTGCATCTTCTAGAACATCTGCAGGCGACCAGAATCCATTAGAGGTTCAAGCTTCCAATGGAGTTCCTGCTGCCGTGGATCAAGATGCTTGGTCTGAAACCCAAGAACGAGCCCTTATCCAGGCTCTGAAAACATTCCCAAAGGATGTTAACCAACGCTGGGAACGCGTCGCTGCTGCTGTGCCTGGGAAAACTATGATACAGTGCAAAAAGAAGTTTGCTTTGATGAAGGAGAGCTTCAGAAGCAAGAGAAACACCGATCAGTAACTTACCATTAAGAGATTCCATTCCTATGAAGCAGATTTTGTTTCCAACGATAGGTAAAAATGTGCAGCAGAGCACTCTTTCCCCTGCCATGGAGGAACGTTCCAAGAGTGTATCAAATCGTCATCATCCTACCTATCGCATCCAGATTTTTACAATTGATTCTCCAAAGCAAGACCAGCTCACAATCAACAAAACCACACCATATTCTATCTATCAGTCACTCGGTCTGAATTTTTAAGCAAATCACAGCTATTGACAATATTATTCCCTCTTTTGGTAGTCTATATACGAGTCTTTCTTGTCTCCGATAGCTGAGTTACCTTATGCCCTTGCTGAATGCTTTTTGTTTGTGTTTCTGGATATCATCATGCATTCCAGCTACACCCTGTTCTTCTTTACGGTCGCAATAAACTGTCTTATGAAATACTTGAGGAGGTGCAATTGATGCCATCTTTGTGAATCCAGCATCCGATACTAGGCTTTTTGTGTTCAATTTGATCTGTTTTTGAGTTTAAATTAGGCTTGAAACAGGAAGTTTGGCTACGTTAGTACGAGAAAGACATGGTGTCATGCTGCTGTGTAGTGTTGAATCATTTTAGAGTAGGCTTCATATCGGCCAAATGGTTAGCGAAGCCAACAACCTATGTGAAACATTAATATGTCATCGGGAGAGAATCAAATGATTCAGACGCAGCTGCTCGAATCATTTCATTTCATTTCATGTTGAAGGTGGTGATTGGCTTATCGCAAGTAGGTTTCATTCATATGCTTAAATCAAGTTAATGCTAATTGTTTATGACTTTGATGTTGAACCAATTAATTAGCTTCTCACTCGCTCTTGTATGGTTCTTCAGAAGTCAACACCCAACGCCTGCGCCTCTCTCTCTGGTCCACACGAACTCGTTCCTATAATGGGGAGTACGATGCTGTTGACTCGGGCAACTCCATCCATGCCCCCTTCTCTCCTCCGCCGTTCGATTCTAGGTGGCAACTGGTGGATCCCATGAAGCTTCTCTGCTACCTGAGCGTCGTTCCGTCGAACACCTCCTCCCCTCCTGTATTTATTTTGTTGCTTCGTTTTCACCATCGAGAAGGGAACGGCTATGAGAGCGCCGTGTGCAAGCATCAAATGGCCATTGAGTTGATAAGCAGACCAGGCAGAGATCGAACGGGTTCCACGAAGAAGCGGAGACGAGGAGTGTGTTCCCCGTGTTGAATGGGTTCGTGTTGTCGATGCGCGTGGTTGCTGTGATCGGAGATCAGAAAGAAGGGAGACGAGAGAAAGTAGAAGATGGCGTCCGCACCGCTCAATCCGTCCAAGAAGTCGATCCGCAGCCCAGGCGGTGGTGGGTCTCAAAACAACCGCAATGCCAGTGGGCAAACGGTCAAGTTCGCGAGGAGGACGTCGAGCGGCCGCTACGTTAGCCTCTCCAGGGAGGACATGGACATGTCGGGGGAGCTCTCCGGGGACTACATGAACTACACGGTGCACATACCCCCGACACCCGACAACCAACCCATGGATGGACCCGCCGAGGCCGCGTCGGTGGCGGTCAAGGCGGAGGAGCAGTACGTCTCCAACTCGCTCTTCACCGGGGGTTTTAACAGCGTCACCAGGGCGCATCTCATGGACAAGGTCATCGACTCCGAGGTGATGCACCCCCAGATGGCGGGCGCCAAGGGCTCATCCTGTGCCATGCAGGCCTGCGATGGCAAGGTCATGCGGGACGAGCGCGGAGAAGACATCGACCCGTGCGAATGCAGGTAGCCTCCTCCTCCTCGGCCAGTCTTGAGAGCGAAAGAAGGTCTTCTACTGGTGCTAACCAATCGATTCCAGGTTTAAGATTTGCAGGGACTGCTACTTGGACGCTCAAAAGGATGGGGGGACGTGCCCGGGTTGCAAGGAGCCATACAAGATAGGGGAGTACGAGGACGATGTGCCGGACTTCCGCACCGGCGCTCTCTCCCTTCCGGCGCCGGCCAACGCCAAGACGACAGCTGACAACCGCATGTCGGTAATGAAGTCGAACAAGTCCCTGCTGATGCGCAGCCAGACCGGGGAGTTCGACCACAACCGGTGGTTGTTCGAAAGCAAAGGGACGTACGGCTATGGGAACGCCTATTGGCCCAAAGACGGCATGTACGATGATGATCTCGAGGAGGGCATGGCGGACGGCATCCCGGAAAACATGGATAAGCCCTGGAAACCCCTGACTCGGAAGATCCCGATGCCTGCCGGAATCATCAGCCCTTACAGGTATGTTGTCTCCAACCCCTCACCCCATTGTGATGCCATGCGATCTACTAATCTCGTTGATGTGACCTCAGGCTTCTCATAGTTGTGCGGCTGGTTGCTCTGGGTTTCTTCCTGGTATGGAGGGTGAAGCATCCGAACGAGGAGGCCATGTGGCTGTGGGGCATGTCCATAGTCTGTGAGATCTGGTTTGCCTTCTCCTGGATCCTCGACGTGATCCCCAAGCTCCACCCGATCAATCGGGCGACCGACCTCTCGGTGCTCAAGGAGAAGTTCGATATGCCATCCCCCTCCAATCCGTCGGGACGCTCTGACCTTCCCGGCATGGACGTCTTCGTCTCCACCGCCGATCCCGAGAAAGAGCCACCGCTCGTCACGGCTAACACTATCCTGTCAATCCTGGCCGCCAATTATCCGGTGGAGAAGTTAGCGTGCTACATATCTGATGATGGTGGCGCTCTGCTCACTTTCGAGGCGATGGCGGAGGCCGCGAGCTTCGCCAATATTTGGGTCCCCTTCTGTCGCAAGCATGACATCGAGCCGAGGAACCCCGACAGCTACTTCAGCTTGAAGGGGGACCCGACCAAGAACAAGAGGCGGTCGGACTTCGTGAAGGACCGGAGGAAAGTGAAGCGGGAGTATGACGAGTTCAAGGTGAGGATCAACGGGTTGCCCGATTCCATCAGGAGGAGGTCGGACGCATTCAATGCTCGGGAGGAAATGAAGGCGATCAAGCACATCAGGGAGAGTGGTGGCGACCCGACGGAGCCGATAAAGGTCACCAAGGCGACGTGGATGGCCGATGGGACGCATTGGCCGGGGAGTTGGGCCACCTCCGCCCCTGAGCATGCCAGAGGAGATCACGCGAGCATCCTCCAGGTAATATATACGAGTACTAACACCACCGTTTCACACTCTCCTTCTTCTTCTCTTCCTTTTTCTTTCTACTGCAGGTGATGCTGAAGCCGCCCTCGGCGGATCCGCTTTACGGGCTGCCGGACGAGGACCAGACGATGGACTTCACGGACGTGGACATCCGACTGCCGATGCTGGTGTACATGTCGCGCGAGAAGCGGCGGGGGTACGACCACAACAAGAAGGCCGGGGCCATGAACGCGCTGGTGCGGTCGTCGGCCGTCATGTCGAACGGCCCCTTCATCCTCAACCTTGACTGCGACCACTACATCAACAACGCCGACGCCATGCGCGAGGGCATGTGCTTCATGTTGGACCGAGGTGGTGACCGCATCTGCTACATCCAGTTCCCCCAGAGGTTCGAGGGCATCGACCCCTCCGACCGCTACGCCAACCACAACACCGTCTTCTTCGATGGCAACATGCGCGCCCTGGACGGCGTGCAGGTATCTCACTCTGTGCCGTTTATCTACCCCAGTTGGGGAGGGGCGGTTCGTTTTCTTAGATCGTTGTTGTCGGACTTGCAGGGTCCGGTTTATGTGGGGACCGGTTGCTTGTTCCGGCGATTTGCGCTGTATGGATTCGACCCTCCCCGGGCGACCGAGTACACCGGGCTGTTCACGAAGAAGGAGAAGAAGAGCACGTACAGCAAAGAGACGGACTCGGACACGCAGTCGCTCAGGGCAGAAGACTTCGACACCGATCTCGACCCGGCGCTGCTGCCCAAGCGGTTTGGCAACTCCGCAGCGCTGTCCGAGTCGATACCCGTGGCCGAGTTCCAGGGCCGCCCCCTGGCCGACCACCCTGGGATCAAGCATGGCCGCCCTCCCGGTGCTCTCAGGGTCCCGCGACCCCCCCTCGATCCCGCCACCGTCGCTGAGGCCGTCTCTGTCATCTCTTGTTGGTACGTCATTCGTTTCATCTTCTCCTCCTTCCTGACATGCTTCGATCTGTTCTTGCTGAGTGATCGTATGGATTCAGGTACGAGGACAAGACGGAGTGGGGCGACCGCGTGGGTTGGATCTACGGGTCGGTGACGGAGGACGTGGTGACAGGGTACAGGATGCACAACAGGGGGTGGCGCTCGGTGTACTGCATCACCAAGCGCGACGCCTTCCGGGGGTCGGCGCCCATCAACCTGACGGACCGGCTCCACCAGGTGCTCCGCTGGGCCACCGGCTCCGTGGAGATCTTCTTCTCCCGCAACAACGCCCTGCTGGCGTCACGGCGTCTGAAGCTGCTGCAGCGCATCGCCTACCTCAACGTCGGCATCTACCCCTTCACCTCCATCTTCCTCCTCGTCTACTGCTTCCTCCCGGCCCTTTCCCTCTTCTCGGGCTACTTCATCGTCCAGACCCTCAACGTCACCTTCCTCGTCTACCTGCTCACCATCACCCTCACCCTCATCGGCCTGGCCATCCTTGAGGTCAAGTGGTCCGGCGTGGGCCTCGAAGAGTGGTGGCGCAACGAGCAGTTCTGGCTCATCTCCGGCACCAGCGCCCACCTGTACGCGGTGGTCCAGGGGCTCCTCAAGGTCGTGGCCGGGATCGAGATCTCCTTCACCCTCACCACCAAGTCCACGGCGGAGGACGAGGAGGACATCTACGCCGACCTGTACCTCGTCAAGTGGACGTCCCTCATGATCCCACCCATCACCATCATGATGGTGAACATCATCGCCATCGCCTTCGGCTTCGCCAAGACCATCTACAGCGAGGTCCCCAAGTGGAGCAAGCTGATGGGCGGTGCCTTCTTCAGCTTCTGGGTGCTGGCTCACCTCTACCCCTTCGCCAAGGGCCTCATGGGCAGGCGCGGCAAGACTCCCACCATCGTCTTCGTCTGGTCCGGCCTCATCGCCATCACCATCTCACTCCTCTGGATCGCCATCAGCCCTCCCAAGGAAGGCGAAGGCTCCACCGCCACCAGCACCTTCCAGTTCCCATAATACTCTCTCTCTCTCTCTCACTCTCTCTATATATAATATATATATCCATATCTATTATCTACAGACATATATATTAAACGTCACGTATCGAAAGATTGAGGAACGGCAAAGATGTAGAAACGAATAATTACGTAGACGAGGAACGATATATGGATGCATGCTTAGTATATGCAACCCTGAAGCCACATTATTAAGCAGTTTTCCTTGTCTGCATTGTATTTTTACTTTTATTCTTTTGATGTAATTCTTCTGCAATTTGTTGTCATCTTGTTCCTCATTCTCATTAACTTCTGCTTGAAGCCATTTTCTATTTCCTCATGATGCAAGCCAATGATTCTCATTTTCTTTTTCTGTTTACTCTTGGAAGTTTCTCTCTCTCTCTCCTTTTCACCCAAGTAGTATGTAATTCTTCTCTCATCTTCAATAAATGAATTGTGGGTTGTGACATCCAAAGTTCAATCTCTTATCATAATATTTACATGGAGAGTTGGATTGGCTTGGAGTGTTTAATGTGTCTATTATTAACTCAATTATTTATTATGAATTTTCCCCTACTTGGAGGACAGGAATCCAAAAAGAACACCAACATGGAATGACTTTTGGATGGAGATGACCCTATGGAAATAACCCTACATCATGCACAGCAAAACTAAGAAATACCATAATAGGAGTAACCATGCATGGCCTACAAATGTTATCATAGGAATCAAGATAAGACGTGAAGTGCAACATCAAGCAATCCTTCAATATCATTTCCAAATCTGCAACGCAAATTCCGATTCATTGCATACCAAAAATCAAAAAGAAAATTCATATGAGTCTCAAAACCCTAATGTTATGTTGACGACTTGCATGGGATGTCTACGTGAAATTAATGGAAGGGGGGGAGCATTCATTGCAGGTGCAGTGCCTGCAGCTGCAGCAGCAGCAACGGCGAGAAGGAAACTGCATGCAACGACGAATATGGCATGTCTTCTTTATGACGATGGTGATGATGATGAGGTATTCCTGCAGACCCAGCTGTGCACCGTCAGTTTCCGACGCTTTGCCGACAAGCCATCTGCTGCTTTCTCCCATTATATATACCCTGCGCTGCTGCCTTATTTTCATCTTGCAAGTTTCTCTTCCTTCTCCCTTCTTCATCCATGGCTGACGACGACGATTTGAGATTCTTCTTAGACTATGGAAGTGTGTTCGACTTCTCGGCCCCCACAACCACCTTCGCCAATCCATCCACGTCCACCACCCCGGTGGCTTCACCTTCTGCGGGATCGGCGGCCCCGGCGACTCGGCTAATTGAGTACCAGCCTCTGCCCACCTTCGCGAGTCCGTCCACGTCCGCCACCCCGGTCGTCAACCTGGTACCTCAATCCAACTTGCCGGACCAGATCCCGGCTCCTCGGTGGTCCTTCCCCTCCGTTCCTGCCGCTGCACCTTCTGCGGGAGCGGCGGGCGTGGCGACCCGGCTAATCGAGTCCCCGCCTCTGCCCGCCTTCGCGAGTCCGTCCACGTCCGCCGCACCGGTGCCTCGATCGAACTTCCTGAACCAGATCCCGACTCCTCGGCTGCCCTTCCCCTCCGTTCCTGCCGCTGGGCGTGGCTTCACCTTCTCCCCCACGTCTTCTGCTGGCCCGTCGACCTCTCGCTACTTCGATGACGGACTGCGCTTCGGATCGATGTTCAACCCGTCGTTCCCGCAGCTCTCGTCTGCGAATTCTATCGGGACGTCGTTCTTCTCCCCGACTAGAAGAAGCTTCCCCGTCGAGTCCGCGGCTGACAGCCTTCCTTACCGATTTGGCGGGAACAACGACATCAGCATCAACCCTTCGTTTGCTGCTTGTTTTCGTGCCTGGAAGAATCGAACGGAGTCGAGTTCGGCAGCAGGCGAGTTGGCGAGGACGAAGCAGGCGCCGCCTCTCCCATACAGGTGCAGCGAGTGCGACATGAGTTTCCCCACACCGCAAGCCTATGGCGGCCACATGAGTTCGCACAGCAAAGCGAGGAAGGCGCAGCCTCAGCCCGCAGAAGCCTTGGTTCCGCCGAAGAGGACGAGGCGTCCGAACACAACCCCGTGGATCCCGGAACGTGGAGAACAGCTCGTCCTGCGTGCCCCCGATCTTGATCGACCTGCCTTGATCAGTGGCGCCACCGTGGCAGATGAAGAAGATGCACTGAGCGGCCCGCCGCTGGGAAGCCAAGGAGGCGAATCCAGCGACGGATGGCAGAGCTGAAGTGGAATCCACAGTTGCAGGACGCATGAACCGGTCGTGCTTCTGTTCTTAGTAGAGTGCGATGTAGGGCAACCGATAAATGCTTTAAGATTCGCGTTTGTTTGTGGATGATGATGTCTCAATCGTTTTATTGACCATGCGTTATTATTAATGCTTTTTTTATTATATGGTAATTATATACGCCGATCATTCACATAGTCTCACGTGCATCGCTCGTGTCGGTACTCGTAAAGACGGAAACACCCTTCTCTGGTTCGCCCATTAACTAAATCTCTTCTCTTCGACGCCTCCTCCGCCTCCATCCTTCCCTCTCGAGCGAGATCTGTCGTCACCGCTGCCTCTGCTGTTGAAACGAGAAGCCGTGGTCTTCGGGGTGCCGATCTCTTGCAGTTGTTTCTTGGATCGACGATCTGTCGACCGCCGATCGTTTTCTCGGAAGGTAATGTCGGTCGATGCCACTTCCAGGCACTTCGAATTCGTTTATCTGCTACTTGTTCGTTTTCTTGCTGCGGGTGTGTCCTTCAAATGGGTCTGATGCACCATTTGCGTCCATCTTTCGGCCCAAGATGCTGAGCGGCTGGTTTGCCTTGGCAATTCTTGAGCCCATGCTGTCCCGAGTGCTATGATTCATTTCTTGATTGAGAACGAAAGAGATGTCGGTTGATGAATGCGGAGTCTATTGGTCTGGTTGTTTCCATCACCTCTTTCTTTTTTCTCCTTAATTTGCTCCATCAGTACCAATTTTCTCGTTATTGTTTGGATCTGTATCTTTCTCTTCTTGCATTACGAGACCGATCTGCTCCCTCCCGTTGATGTAGCTTAGAAGAAGAAGTTGCTGCTAAAGTGATCTTCTCCGTGGTAGTTTAGAGTCTTTAGACATTCTCTTAAAGATTCGCACCCATTCTATTCTGCGTTTGGCTAAACCACGTCACGTTTCTTGCATATTAGTAACCTGTGAATGTTTTCTAACCAGTTAATGATGAGACAGCGATGTCCTAGTATTCATGTCTTCGCCTGACAATCTGTGTGTTATTAATCTCTGCCGTCCAATTTATACATCAACAAGAGTGGATGATTACGTAGGCTTGAGAAATTACTCGTTGCCTGGCTAGATTTATCTTTTCCTTTTGCTTGTGGTTTTGATTTCTTTACCCAGAGAACTTGTTGGTATTTGAGGTTTTTGGTCCTTTAATTTTGCATCATTTAGTACCGTTCTTTGTGTTGCAATCTAGTAGTCTATGGATAGTTAAGCACCTGCACGGATTTTGTTTGCACTTCAGGTCAGCTTGATAATTGTGGTTATTAGTTTGGCTTTGGTAAGAATGGCATACTTTACCCATACTCTAATTAGTTCTCGAGCATTCAAGTCGTTGTGCCATAATGGACCACAGGGAAAATGGCTGCTTCGGATGCGGCACCTCCCCAGATTGCGATAATTGGAGCAGGCATCTTTGTCCGGACTCAGTATATTCCTAGGTTAAGAGAGATAGCTGATCATTTAATTATTAAATCAATTTGGAGTCGAACTGAGGTATGAAATTTTTGTGTGTACTCTTGATGCAACAGGCTATGAATTGGATTTATCTGCAAACTAGTCTGTTCCGCTTGATGCATTCTGTACCTAACATTATGTGACATTCTGCCTAGGAATCTGCCAAAGCTGCCGCAGAACTCGCGCAAGATTTTGCTCCAAATATAGAATGTAAATGGGGTGATTCAGGACTTGAGGAAATCATTCAAGACAGCTCCATAACGGCAGTTGCTGTAGTTCTTGCTGCACAAGTTCAGGTTTGAATACATACCCGATGCTTCAGTTGTACAATGAAACCCCTAAGACTTATTCTTGAACTGTCATCTGCATGCCTCTATACAAAAGACTCCATAGAAGTACATGGAAGTATTAGAAGAAAAAAATTCATTAATTTCTGTACTTCCCGTGTAAGTTCTACAGATGAATGTAATCTTGTGTATTCATTTGGTTGCATTTGATTAGTTACAGAGTCTTCCACTTTCAGGAAATATTTTTATAAAATTTTATATTGAGATAAAATAAAATTGTCGCACTTTTGAATTACTAAATTAGTTAGCAGTACTATTTAGTGTTTGAAAGAAAAGATTACACTTTCTGACATGATGCTGGCACAAGAGAATGTAGTACATTGTAGAACTGCACAAGGGCCCTGGTGTTTACTTAGGAACTCATTCCAACCCATGATCTTGCATATAATGTGATCACTGCTTGACAGAAGTGAAAAATAAGTGATTGTTAAGTGCTAACTGAAGTGTTTTTGCTCTAATTGAATGATTATTTTAGCCACGAAAATTCGAAAGAAATTTATTTAAGAAAACAAAGAGGCAGAGAATATGAATCAACAAAGTCAATAGAAAAACTTGAAGAAGTTAGTTTAATAACATGACAAGGGCATATTGATCCAGTTAGAGTTGCTAAATTTTAGGCCTCACTCGTGTTCTCCTCTCATCCTTGTTCTAGTTAGTGTGTCATGATATTATAAAAATGTGGGCAGATACGTTATCTTCAAAGATGCATGTTTGTTACAAGGTCCATTATTTCAACTATATTAAATGATTCATCCTCGATAGTTTTTTAAAAAAAACTGACTTGGGCAGTACTTTAATAACATAAAATAAAGAGTTATGTTCTGTACTGCATAAGTCAACAAGAGTGACTGCTATAGCTGCATATCGAATAAAGGCTTTCTTAGTCTTTTACTTATAAACAATGATATCCTGCTTTCAAGCCCCATCATAATGGATCATTTGACAGAATTTGCACCGTGTTAATTACACTGTCCCTTCTTTGGAGTTCACCATTCTCCTGCTTGATTTTAGAATGGCCCTTTTTCACTCACTTCCCGCTATCCATCTATGATATTTCTTTTTCCATGGAATTGAAATTCTCATTGATATTTTGTTGATGACCATTTTTATCATCCCAGGCTAATTGCTGCTAACGCAGTTAATCAAACATGCAGGTTGAGATTTCCTTGAGAATGTTGAAAGCGGGAAAACACGTTATTCAAGGTACTGAAAAATTGACCATTACATTGGCTATTGAATCAATATATTAATATAGTAACTGAAAGGCTCATATTTAAATCAATATGAGCTTGGGACTGGTTAATTTTGTTGGTTTTGGTTAAATCGTCCTCAAGTTTATGAAGTTGATCTGTATTTTGCTCTTCTAAGATTTGAAATTGATCTTCACTAATCTAATACTCATTTTGAGTTTGTCTTCGTCCTTTGCATGGCTTACAAATTTGACGAACAAAGAAAAACCTGCTGCTGGAAGTAAGTAGTCCGTATCCTCAAATTGGTATCCTGTATCGTCATGTTTATATTAGTTGCTAAAGCCATTTGTTAGTGGTTTATGGACTTGAATGGCATGAAACGTCAACAAATATTTTCTTTCAGATAAAAGTCAATTAGCTTGTATGATTGTATGTTTTCCCTTCTTAATTTTTTCTCCACAATCATATATTATCTCATTGACATTGGATCTCCACAATCATATAAGCACCATGTGTCATGAGTGCTTATATATGTCAGTCTTATCACACAATTCTAAGCACATTTTGATCAAACTAATTGCTATTTTTAAAATAATTTCTGCAAACCTGTTTCATTGTTACTTGGAATGGGTTGGATGCACCATTTGTGTCCATCTATTGGCCCGAGAGCTGATCCTCTGGTTTGCCATAGCTATTAATATGATTTACTTCTTGCTTGAGATCCAAGGAGATGTCGGTTGATGGATACTGAGTCTAATTGTCTGGTTGTTTCCCTCTTATTGTCCTCTTTCTGCATAATTTGTTCATCACTCCCAATTTCCCATTATTGTTTGGATCTATACCCTTCCTCTCCTTGGATAAGGAGATCGATCTGCTCCCTCCTGTTACTTGTAATGGAAGATATATTGCCCTGTGACTCTTTTTGTTGAATACATTATTTTATTTATTTTTAGGCTCATACTGTGGACGTTGAATACATGGGACAGATGTTTATCTTGTGAATATGTCACTTTAAATTGATTACAGCATACAACTTGTTTAGGTTACAAGATGTTTATCGTGTGAATGTCACTTTAAGTGAATATGCCTTTGTGTAATCAATTTCCTGTCTTTGGTAGCCTTGTCCTATAGCCATCAACAGAAGAAATAACTCAGACAAATATAAGGTAAGAAATACCTTATGAAATGATTGACACTAGTCACTAGCACCAATTACTGAGTCATAAATGCAAACTACTAGAACTAGTTACTTGTCTCACCTGCAACATCATCAGTTATTAATATGTTTGTGCTTACTGCTGTTGATGTGTATTTTTTCATCAGAACATGTAGAGTGGCCTGTAAAACTTGTTTTACAAGGAAGGAGGTGTCCAGTGTTTGCACTTTGCCATTCTCTCTGAGCTAGTTTTGCTTTTACATAGAAAATATGCACATTGTTTTCATGCGTATGTCACTTTTCATGTTATCCCAATTTCAATCCTTATTGGCTTGCTAATTTATTTCTTTGTGATAGTCAATATTATTTTAATTTGATTAAGAGCTACATTATTGCATCTCCATGTGGTTCTGTATTTCACTAAAATGGTAAATTAATTATTTGAATCATCAGCTGTAAGCGAGGCAGAAACAGCAATATCATGCTACAATTCTTTTTGCAACAATTTTCCTCATCAACCTGTATGGGCTCTGGCTGAAAATTATCGCTTTGAACCTGCGTTTGTTGAGGTATCAACCTTCTGAAAGTAACTTTACTTTTTGTAAGTACTAAACACTATCTAAACTTGGTCATATAGTCCAGGAAATTGTTAAATGATATTGGTGATATGATGCACGTCCAAGTTATCATTGAAGGATCGATGAACAGTTCAAATCCTTACTTCTCAAGTTCCTGGAGACGAAATTATTTTGTAAGTGACAAGTTGAGTATGATTAAGCTGAACTCACCTGTTATTGCTATATTGTTTTGCGGGCTTTCCAAGCTTCCAAGAACTGGCATTTCAAATCCCCAACTTTTAAACAATGAGGAAAGCAATATTATTTTTTTCTCGAAATTGCATATTACACTGTATTTGATTACTATTGCTTCTATTATTGATGGAAATATTACAGTCAATTTTTTTATAATTTTGTTTTGGTTTCAGTACTGGGACCTGGTTAGACTGGCATGTACCAGGACGTGTAATACTAATATGGACAATACAGTCATAAAAAAGTATTAAATTAAGTCTAAGCTCAGTGTATGAGCATTATAGCACAGTACCAGCACACGTTTACCCAAATGGACCAGCGTGGTATAGTTGGTACACCTATGTAGTGGAATTTCAAACTTAGATGATGACTTCTCTATCCTCCATGCCTGTAAGTCCACAAGGACGGAAACTACTTTACCAAATGTGTATATCAAGGGTGGAAATACCAGGTGTGATGGGCGAATATGTAATTATTTGAACATTTACGTGATGCTTTACTATAGCTAAAATGATGTTCTATAAACTGTTTGAATCCTACCCAATACGTTAGCACTGTATAGAGATACTGGTAAAGACTAGAACACGTCTGTGTCATGATATGCATATGACTGATGTTAAATATGTTGGATCATCATAGACATGAATGTGTGTCAAGTTACTATGAATTCGCCAAGTGCTTGTCTGGACTTGTGTTTATAAAAATAGTTTTCTCTACAAACTCCTTCTATGATGTCAAACATATGTTATTATTCTGGGGTCTTAAGTTTTATTGATGACACAATTATACCAAACTCATTAACGAGTCACCTAATTATTTAGTAGTTGAACGTTAAGGATGACATATGTATTTCTTTTATCAATATGGTGCAAAAAGACGTCTATTGCAGAAATGCTGGCAATTAAATTTCTCCTACCTGCTTATGGACTTGTTGTAAATAAAAAATTTATGCCACAAGCCATATACAAGGCTTTTGACATCATTGTTTAGTTGAAGCTGAAAGTCTTAGGTATTTCAAAGTTATGGCTTCATGTTCCACTATAATTCTTTTTTAAACTTACAGGGAGGCTTCATTCTAGATATGGGGGTTCACTTCGTTGCAGGATTGAGGATGGTATGCTCTGTTTTCCTTCTGAGATATGTGGGTAAATTTGTTTAAGCTAGTCATTATCTTGGTTATTCCACTAGCTCACGAGGCAAGATTTAGTTCATTAGTCATGCAGCCTCTGAAGAGGCTGTTTCTTGAGTTGACCCCCATTTTATGTTTAGACTGATACCATGTTTTAAGGTTTGAACAATCACCTTTTTAAAATTTCACCAGATAACTGTTTCATAAAACTAACACTAATTAAATAGTGGACCTAAGCAAAAAGGGTAAGCTGATGTTTGTATGTATCATCCAGAATCTTGGTCAATACATGAGATCCAGGAAAATGCTATGTGTAGATGATATGATATCATGTTAGAATTGCATTAGTATGGCACACTGCTGGCCAGACCATGCAAGCACACCATAATGATAAATTCAGAACTTAATGAAGTAAATTCAAGTAATTACTTTGTTAACTCCTTGCTAGTATTAAGGATCAATTTATCATTATGCTCAACAGATGGTTGGGTGTGAGATCAGCACAGTGTCTGCCATTGCCCGTCATGTGGACATGGCCCTGCCTCCACCTGACAATATATGTGCTCTATTGTAAGTTTCGGCAAACTAGTGCTCCTGTAAAGTTCCAGGAATTTTTGGGGCTATTTTTAATTCTAAATAATTTGCACTTGTAGCCAATTGGAAAATGGATGCGCGGGGGTATTTGTAATGGCAGTGAACTCAATCTCCCCAAAGGTAAGCCGAATAAGATCGTCTATGTTTCCGACATACATATGCAACATAGGTTAGAACAGCAGAGGCTCATGTTGCATCTGTAAGTGGTGTACATGGCTGTGATATTCTCAATGGCTGAAGAAATTATGAGTTTCGAGGACCAGATGTCTTTTTTATTTTACATTGGTGCCTAAATCTTCTATTTTTATAAGTGATGTCATCAGATATATTGGCGCATTGATGGTTCAAAAGGGACATTGCAAATTGAACGTGGGACCGACAGTGGGCGCCATGGATATTCGGTATAAAAGAATTAAGTTCCTTGTATCTGTGGTTTCCAATAAATTTGGTTTAGAATTCTTCAAGGGTTTCTTTCGGTCTGCTTATTTTTGTGGACATTTTGGGACGTATAAACTATGATGGCGATCAACTGCAGGTTCTGTTTTATACAGCAGGCGGGCATTGTCAAAGGACTTTCTATCCTTTCTGTGGAGTAAATGAGGAATTGAAGTCCTTTATTCATGACATTTCACAGGCTAACAGAAAGGTGCGCCAATTGCTCAAAGTTATGAGTGTGTTCAATTCTGGTTATTTTAGACCTTCCTGAAAATTGGATGAGCTTGGTTAGTGGAATCATAAGAATTAGTTCTCCTAATTGTGGCTAACTACTAATAATAACTAGATTACTGTGACCTTACTGACATTGAATGAGTTGTTTCTTCCTATGCTCTTTTGCTTGAATAATATCGCCATTTGCTTGAACGCCTGCTTCATTTTGTTTATTCATCATCCTCAATCTTTGTTTTTTTGGGGGGCCAGGATGGGATGACCAGCCATGAACCTGAGCCACGTAGCTTGTACAAGGAAGGTGCACGAGATGTTGCAGTGTTGGAAGCGATGCTGGAGTCGAGCGCCAAACAAGGGGCTGCAGTCCATGTGAAGAAGCTATGATGAAGAAGCCTTGTGTTATTCTTTGTAGCCCATTCCTATGCATAAAACCCAGTATGGACTACGCATACGCGAGAAATTAATTTTGTTCTAATTAACTATCAGAATCTGTTTTGATAATAAAGGCGTTGGCTTTTGTCAAGTAATAACTCACCAACGGTTGGTTACTCACCACAACCGGGAAGAAAGAAATAAACATTATAAGGAAAAGAAAAAGAAGAGAAAAACACATTACAAAGAAGGATTTTGATTTTGTTGTCAACCCAGTGATCACTAGATACTTTGAATCAGGGAATTGGAACATTTTGCAGTTGAAAATCCCATAATACAAAGAATAATTCATTTATTAATTAACGTAACTATTTATGATATCCACAATGATGGGTGGATATCATGATTCTTCTCTCCACTGCAATCTGTTGAGAGCATCCACGATCGCCTTGCGGAATTCATCATTGTGGAGAAGAAAGGATGAAACGTGACCACCTGTCACCCACCTCACTTCTGAGCCTGGCCATGCTTTCTGAAGCTCCAAAACTGAATGTTTTGGAATATATCCATCATCCTACAAAATCCAAAAAAAAAAACATACAAAATCAGAAAAAAATACATATGAATCCTTCGTGGGAAAGACAAGGAGCTTACAGTAGCAGCTACAAAAATGACAGCCTCAGGAATTTTAGGAATTGGGAACCGAGTAACGTCGGTAAGCGATAACACTGAGCGCAGCCGTTCTCTGGCTTGTTCCAGTGTCATCCCTGTCTTCTGTTCACCATCTTCTCTCAGCGCCCCCCATGCCGTGGCGTATTTCAAGACCCCTTCACAAAAAGCTACAACTGCAGAGTGGGGAGCAAGAAATGGCAGCGTGGCAATTGGTCTCGGATGCAGAGACCCAACCATTGCAGCATGCACACCCCCTACAGTTTGTCAATACCAAAGAAATTTGGATTAACATCAACCTAAGATAGTAATGAGAAGTAAAAAAGATGAGTCAAAAAATGATTTAAATAAAAAAAATTGTTGTCGTTATAAACTTAAATATATGATTGAGACATAACAAGTTGCAGGTTTGTTTAATGTTTCAGCACTAGCATAGTCTTTTAAGAAATAGGAGGCATATATTATATGACATTCAAAAGCAGTGGTCTTAGTATACTTCATTTTACCCATGCTAAGGCCACATATGCCTGTCTTGCCAAAACCAGCCTCAACTTCTAACCAGTGCAAGAGACTACGTGATTCATCAATAGTTACTCTCCCTAGCAGTAGCAAGTCACTCACACAAAGAAGCTTTGCACCACGCTGCAGTCTAGGACGTCGTTGTCCATAAAATGGGCTGCAGCACATTTAACTCAGATCAAAGCCAAAACATAAAGCATATGGAAAATCTTTTGCATTCTAAACATCAAAAGTATCCATGGCAGTTGAAAGAAAAATTTTCCCTACATCTTCCGGGCTACAAATGTTCTCCTTCAACAGTGGTCCACCACTGTTGAAAAGAAAAAAAATTTTACCTCTCAAGCACCATAGTTGCAATGTTCTCCTTCAACAGTGGTCCACCAAGTCTCAGCCTTCTCTCAAATGTATGATCTCCGGTGCCTATGAGTTTCCATACAAGTCGAATGAGATTCAGTTATGATTATGACGTGTTCCAAAAAAGTTTGCAAAAGCTGAACGAATAAGCAAGTGCTTGTAAAGGACCAGATATGAGAGGATAGTTATGATTTCTTACCAAATATTTTCCAGTATAATAACAATGTATACTCCACCTACCAAATTATTTAAAGACGTTGGACACATGGCTCATGTAAATTAGGACACATTTCTTTCATCATACAAGCCAATGAGAATCATTGAAAAAGTTTGGACTCGTTCATGAACCAACTTAATAATCCTCAAATTTCACCGGTATGCAAATGTAGTAGTTTTTTATTTGTGCTGATATAGTCATGGCATTGACAATTTTCAGTGCAATATGAAAGGTCTGTTGTAGCATCCTCTAAAATTGCACAAACTTGTTTCTATTTTATCCATCGAGAAGTAAAAACTTGATCGTGCATGCAGAATAAATGCAAGAGGCAATTGACAATCTCTCTGGTAAGGCTCTTCATCCATAAGTCAATTTCTTTACTATGGAAAGAGGCAGGTCATATTTTTCCCTACAACTCTAAAGGAACAAAAGAGGCATAAATCATAACACACATGAATCAAAAATCACCGTGTGCCTTGGTGAAACACTTAATATAAATCAGTGAATAATAGATTAATAAACCGACTTACCAAACTTGAACATTCTTAACTTTCTAAAGTCACTCCCAACGATGACTAACAGGCAACAAAGAAAACAACATCAACTCCAATAATTGATGTTGTTGCATTTCAGGAAAACAACGCAAGCAGCTAACAGGTAACAAAGAAAAGAGCACGAGTGTTGTATCATATCATAAAATAGTCTTGGCCAATATCACTTCTATGATTCTCTGCATGCATACAAATTAATATGTATCTACTCTGTTAGTTGTAGAAACTCACTCATTCAGCCAAATACAAGAACTACACCAAATATCTTCCACAACTAGACTTCAAATGCAATATTCAGCTATAACATGAACAATGCTATAATGCCACAAAAGTCAATATGCCAAGCATTCATAACAACTTCCAGGAGTCAGATGTCAAATAAACAAAAAAAAATTGTCTAACCTCGTTAGGATCATATGTACTAACCAAGTCAATGATAATAACCAAAGAAATGTTAGTTTCTTTATGCTACATAGATTTTGTCTCAGACAGTGTAATAATAGGAGTAAACTGAAGAATATGCTTCATATCAACCAACTATAGGAAATTGAAACATTTAATATGCCAGAAGAATATAGAAAGGATTTCCTTTAGCGAAACACGTTACTGATAGAACATAAAGTCAGATTGTACCTGCTAGGTGGACTACACAAGCCATCTTCTGTGGTGGAACAGTTTTTGGCACCAGAAAAGCAACTCTTGCATTATAGCTCTCGGGAGGTAATGCATTGATGAGTTGCTCGTCGCAAGGGGTCCTGAAAATACCTTCTCTCAGGCATGCATTACTTGTCTCCCACACAGTCTTCCACTTAGGTTGCACTAGAGTTGGTGGCCAATTCTGAGTTTCAGTTGCTGGGAAGAGCTGCTTGACAAAACGCTCCAACAAATCAAGCTTGCTTCCTCCCCATCCCTTTGAGAAAAAGGGTGTAGTTAATTTGGTTCTATGAACAAATGCCCCATAGATATGGTCCAGAACATAATGGAGGACTCCTAGGTTCACAGATACCATCTCTCAAGAACACCAGACCGCAATGCATGAACAATAATGAAAAAGAAAAAAAGAAGCCACTACTGTCAATCCCTCAGCTGCAAAACTCTGGGTTTGCGCACCATACAAGCTATGATCGGATAACCTGCAGAATCCACAGTAGAATGTTGGTCCTAATGACAATAAATTAATCTAGTGTCACAGAATCTCGATACAAGTATCAGATAGAAATAGTTAAGTAAATAGAACATCAAAGAATACAAAATATGGTGAGTATTATAAACTACCAACAATCGGACTACCAACAATAAAATGTTTTTATTAGAATGTTGGCAGCGACTACAAACAATGGGACATGGAACCCACCAAATACTGCAGAAGCAGACCAGACTCATAGCCAAGAAGCTCTGATAAATGCTAATGATGAAATCATTGGATAATGCAATTAAGAGTAGGGTTACAATAAGAATTTAACCATGTCAAGGAAAAGTCCACAAGGAATACAGCATTACAGATGCTGAAAAAAATAGGGAATTCCATACATCACGCCTAAAGCAAACTTGTGATGATCTTCTCCCCGCAGCTCAAAAGAAAACATGACAACTAGTATGAGATAAGCAATCTAATAACAACATTGTATGGCCATCCGAAACAGAGACATCCAATTATGGATCATCGTCGAGTAACACCGCGCCAGCCCATAGGAGACATCAAAAACGGATCTCCCCAGACAAATCCCATAGTTCACCAAGATTTGGTAAAGAAATCAAAGAAAGAGGCGTGGAACATCCAAGATGTAGATCGAACCAAATTCAAGCGCAAGAAAACTTGAAAGAGAAAGGAGGACCGACCTTGTCAAAATTGGAGGACAAGAGATCGCCCAGCAGCAAGCGGAAATCAGAGAAAACAACGAGCAACGGACACAACGCGAAGGGAGCTTCCCACCTGGAATGCCACCAGCACACGAAGAACGATCTATAAAGCGAAAACCTCCAAGAAAAGAGGGGATCAAGGAAAGAAAGCTTCCCAGAAGAGGCGTGGAACATCCAAGGTGTGGATCGAACCAATTTCGGGCGCAAGAAAACTTGAAAGAGAGAGGAGAAGGACCGATCTTCTCGAAGTTGGAAGGATTTAGCTCCCGAATTCAAGAAAGACAAGCGATCACCAAAAACAACGAGCTCCGGACAGGATGTGAAGGCAGATTCCGTACCTGTAATGCCATCAGCACCCAGAGGACGATCTATGAAGCGAAAACCTCCCGGGAAAGGGCGAATCAAGAAAGGAAACCCTCAATAACAGATCCGAGCGTGCCGTTCCTCTACCCAATAAAACCAAGAGTAGCCAACCACAAATCGAAATGATTGTGGACTGCAAACAGAGAAAGAAGCAGCAGCGACGGGCGGATTGATCGAATCCGAGGATGGAAAGATGAAGGAGAGAGACGATTGCCAAGAGCGGAAAATACTAGGAGCGAGAGCGAGAGAGGCGCAAACTATCGGCGGAGATGTGGAGATTTGCTCCGATTTATATAAACATCCAAGGGGTTTATTGTGATCGTACGGTTACTATCCAATCACGGGCATTTATCAATGTGATGGACGGTGGAGATTGAGATTTATATCCTGGTTTTGGGTGACGAGTCCCCATCAAATCCAAGCTGGAGGAGGATAACGACGACGATCCACTGACAGTTCTACAGTCCTCATTGGTTGGCTATTATTTGGATAAGCAAATTAATATTATCTTTTGCATAAAAAAAAAAATCATTTTAAATAAATAATATATATTATAAATCTTATGAGTAATCGTCCTGATAAAATTTAATATAATAAATAAGTCCCTTCACTTTGTAAGTAATGATAAGTATATCAATTGAAGTTTTAATTAATAATATCATATTTGTTAACTAACAATTATTAATCATGATGATATATAATTAAGATTCTAAGTTGTATAAGGGCATCTATATAACTTTGTGATATCTATATGCAAAAAGATCAATCTAAAATAAATTAGCGAAAGTGAATATATATATATATATATATATATATACATATAAGAGAAAGCAAGCAGAATCTCTAACGAACATTGTTTGGTTTGACTGACACTAACAACTTTGTTTTTTTAATTAAAAAACAAATTTGTTTTTTAAAGCTTTTTTTCTCCTAAAAACAATAATTATTAATACTTTAAAATTATAATACAATCAATTTAGATATCATCACACAAAAGAGTTAAATGTGAATATTATAATATAATTGATCTATTAACTAATGGAGTTTAAACTATTAATCTAATATAATTTGACTCAATGAAATAATTAGATATTAGCTTATTTATGTAAGTGTAAAAAATTATAATTATATATAAAAAATTAATACTAAAATTAAAATTAATTTATGAGAATAGATAAATTTATCTTGTCATTTTATAGAATAGAATAGATGATCTGATAATTAGAATAATCTCTCTCATCAAAATTATCTCTTTTAAGTAATTTTATCCCATCTTTGATTTCTTTTTATTGAATCCAATCAAATATATAATATATATTATCTAAAATAAGATAATATAATCTAATAATCTAATATTTACTTTTATGTTAATGATATTTTTCTTTTCTCCACGTAGATGTGACCAAGGTAATATTTACAGCATTCTGTGATGCTACTTTGTTGACGAGGGTAATAATAATGATAGGACACGAACTAACGTCATCTGCTCCCGAGTAATGTCTCCTTAGGTCACGTAGATCGAGGAGTTGCGAGGGTCGCCTGTCTCGGTCTGACCTGACAGCGCTTGGCCGAAGCAGACCAAAACGTTGACCGAGGCACGTCACCATCCTGCAAGAGCCCGGTCCTTCACGCAACGCCAATGCCGGTGTCAGACGTTATCCCAGGTATGACCCTGCTCCCTGCAAGCAGACACATAAGGAAACGGTGACCTTCCCTATAAAAACCCTCGCGTTCGGAACGAAGAGGCAGGAAGGAAAATAAGAAAAACCCCCCGAGACTATCGACTAACTTGATCGTCGGAGGGGTTGGGCCAAGCTTTCTCGACCCGACCTGTGTGTAGGGACGAAGACGGAGTGCCTCCCACCGAAGGCCCAGGCAAGGAGTCCCCTCCCGGAGAAAACAGTGACCCCGTCACGATCGGACCACCGCGGTCGACTACCTCAGCAATCTCAAGGGTCGTTCAGGAATATCTCCAATCATTCGGATCCGAACCCAACCGAATTGGTCCCGAGGCCACGGCGTAAAGATATTGACACTAACAGTTTGGCGCTAGAAGGAGGGCCAAATGTCGAGGGATCGACGGATCGACCCAAACGTACCCACAACTAAGGGGTCGCACCTGATCGGGGCTCCGGGGGAATGCGCCTCGCATGGTGAACCTCGAGATAAGCACCCCGCCGTGACCTCAGAACGCTATTGGCGATTATTCAATGACCCGAGCTTATCGCCGCCCGAAGGCGTCCCAACCGACCCGTCGCCCGTATCGCCCGATGCCTTTAAGGACCTCGCTCATCGAGTTCGAGCTCTGACTAGGATGGTGCAGACCATTATCCCGCTTATTTCTCATCCGGCGCACTCACCTATGATCCAACCACTGCGGCAACAAGAGTCGCTCGTTCAGGCTCACACGGTACCTCCGGAGCTCCCCACGTCGCCTCGGGCCCGATCGGCCCCGCTCGAGGATCGAGCAATGGGAAACCAGAGCGCCCGCCCGGAGCTCGAGGTGTTATCTTCAGATTCAACAAGCTCCCTACGAGCCCAGTTGCGCTTCGTTAACCAGCGACTCGATGAAGTGCAGAGGGAGGTTCGTAAGTCAAAGGAAGAACTCGGGGGAGGACGCGCACTGGGGGTCTATGTTCGCGCTTGAGATACAAGATCAGTCAGTCCCCCCGAACTTCCAACTCCCCTCTCTCGACGCATACGACGATGCCACCAACCCGACGTACCATGTAGCCGCCTTCCGTGCCCAGATGGCGCTGTATGGAACCTTAGACGCTTTGATGTGTAGGGCGTTCCCCACGACTCTGAGGGGGCCAGCCCGCGCATGGTACAGCGGCCTGAAGGCCGGGGCGATCACTTCCTTTGATCAGCTTGCCAAAGAATTTGAGCTTAACTACTTAGCTTATGCCCAGCCAAAGCCGTCCGTTGCACTGCTCCTCAGACTTAACCAAAGGGAGGACGAGCTCCTCTCCCATTTTGTGAATCGCTTTGCCACGGAAATCCGAGGGTTGCTGGACGCTCATCCCTCTCTATTAATGCAGGCATTTATGATAGGCCTGCGACCTTTCATATTCTTCTGGTCCCTCACGGAGTGACCCCCCATCGCGGTACCGGAAATGTTCCAGCGGGCTAACTAGTACATCGCGGCGGAGGCCTAGATGGTTGGGAGGCAGGAGGAGCACAAAAGGGTCAGGCTGGAGCCACCCCGGGGGCAACAGTCTACCGCACCGAGGCGCAAGTTGGACCGACCTGACCCGCCAGCGTCGAGGTCCCTGCTTCCCGCCTCGGGCACGTCCCGAACAGAGATATTTCTCTAGATAAGAGAGAAGGGGTTGCTCAGAACCCCCAACCCGATGAGAAGTCCACAGGAGCTCGCGGACTAATCGAGGTATTGTCATTTCCATCGATAAAACGGACATGACATCGAGGAGTGCCGCGAATTGAAGCGGTAGATCGAGGAGCTCATTCGTCAAGGACACCTCGATCGGTACCTCCGACAACGTAAGGAGCTTTCACCCCGCCTGGAGGGCCCCATTGAGTGGCAGATCGACATGATAACAAGCGGCCCAGCATCCGGAGGGAACAGCATGTCCGGACGAAAGGCATACGCCCGCGCCGCTACCGAGGGGGCCTAGCGATCCAAACACGACGATGCATTTGTAATAGCAGCTAGGATCGCCAATGCCCAAGTGAGGAGGATCATGATCGACATAGGGAGCTCGACCAACGTGCTCTATCTGGATGCTTTCCAGAAGCTTGGGCTAACTAGAGATGTCTTGGAGCTGATGTGCTCGGCACTCACCGGGTTCACCGGCGATTCGATCTCGTCGTTGGGAGCAATCACCTTGCCCCTAACCCTAGAGTCCCACCAAGGTCGAAGATGGTGATAGCGACCTTCTTGGTGGTTAACCTCCCCACTGCATACAACGCAATCCTCGGTCGCCTGACCCTCAACAAGATCAGGGTCGTTATCTCCACTTACCACCAAACAGTGAAGTTCTCAACCCACGCCGGGGTCGAGGGAGTCTGGGGAAGCCCCCGCAAATCTAGACGGTGCTACTTGACGGCGGTCTCATTGCACAAAAGGGCAAGGGCTGAACAACCCCTAGCAGATCCCCGGGAAACAAAGAGACCGACCCAACATCCCGAGCCAACGGAGTCCACTAGTGGCTATCCCCTACTGGAGGGTCGACCAGACCGGACGATCAAAACCGGGTCGGAACTCCACGAGCAAGAATGGGAGTAGCTTGTCGGCTTCCTACGGGAGAACGCTGACATCTTCACCTGGTCGCCAGTTGACATGACGGGCGTCGACCCAAAGGTTGCCCAACATCACCTGAACATTTCGCCCGATGCTCGCCCAGTGAAGCAGAGGCCCCGACGACAGGCCCCGACCGACAACTGGCTGTCAGTGAGGAGGTGGAGCGACTTTTGGTAGCGGGCTTCATAGAAGAGGTCAAGTACCCGCGGTGGCTGTCCAGTGTAGTTCTTGTGAAAAAATCTAATGGGAGCTGGAGGATGTGCGTTGATTACACCAATCTCAATCGTGCATGCCCGAAAGACTGCTACCCCATTCCGAGGATCGACCAGTTGGTCGATGCAATCGCTGGGCATGCTCGCCTCTCGTTTATGGATGCCTTCTCCGGCTACAACCAGATCATGATGGCGCCCGAAGACCAAGAGCACACGACTTTCCTTACCGATCAGGGGGTATATTTTTACAGAGTTATGCCGTTCGGACTAAAGAATGCTGGGGCTACATATCAGAGAACCGTAAACAAGATTTTCACCCGGTAGATTGAGCGAAATATGGAGGTCTATATCGATGACATGATCGTAAAAACCCGTACGGCAGTGGCCCACCTGACCGACTTGGCCGAGACGTTTGCCACATTGCGAAAATACGACATGCGACTCAACCCGATAAAATGTGCTTTCGGCGTCAGCTCGGGAAGATTCCTTAGATTCATCATACACGAAAGGGGAATCGATGCCAACCTGGAGAAGGTCCAGGCCATCATTAGTATGCAGGCCCCTCGGACAATTAAGGAGTTGCAACGGTTGAATGGGAGGCTCACCGCCTTATCTTGGTTTCTTTCCTGATCGGGTGATCAATGCCTCCCCTTCTTTCGGGCCCTGAAAAACCCGAAGAACTTCCATTGGACGACAGAATGCGAGGAAGACCTCGTACGTGTAAAACAACACCTGGCTAGCCTCCTTCGCCTTGCCTCAGTCTCTTCCGGGGAGAAGCTCA